CTGCCACACATTGGACTGCTCCCCACATGCCCAGTACAGCCAGGGCTGGGCCAGGCCAAAGTCAGGAGTCAGGAACTCAATCCAGTTCTCCCTCAGGGATCAGGAGCCCCATCACTACAGTCAAGGGGTTATCTGCTAGGACGGACAGTAGCAGGATGCTAGACTAGCAAGTGGGTCCCAGGCTCATACCCAGGCTCTCCAATGTCCTGTGTAGCATCTTAACTGCTGCACAATTGCTACAAACTGCTACAAAAATTGCTTTTTTAAAAAACAAAAGATTTATTTTAAAGGTTAATTCACAGAAAGAAGGATATACAGAGAGAGAACTTCCAAGTGCTGGTTCACTCCCCAAATGACTACAACAGCCAGAGCTGGACTTGTCTGAAGCTGGGCGCGGGGCAGCTGGGAACCCAGGAGCTTCCACCAGGTCTTCCACATGGGTGCTGGGACCCAAGGCTTGGACTAACCTCCATTATTTTCCCAGATCACCAGCAGGGAGCTTGATCAGATGTGGAGCAGCTAGGACTCAAACTGGCATACATATGGGATGCAGGCGCCACAGGGGAAGGACCAGCCTGCTTCACTACCACACCCTTCCCCATTTTCTTTATTTTGTTTTGTTTTTTAAATCATGATTTAGCCTATAGGAAAAACTATAGGGAAACAAATGGAAATTTATTTGCACATTCATCGCTTAAGTTATTATTCAATCAGCCATATGTACAGTTATTTCCCACTGTCCTTCAGAGATAGGTTCCAGGATATCAAAATCTGTGCACACTCAAGCCCCTTCCATATCGTGGTGTAGGACAGATTTTGCAAACAAGCTAGGTACACTCTCCTGGACAGTTTAAATAATGTTTAGATTGCTTATACTATCTGACACAATGAAAATGCTGTGTAAGCAAAGGTTATGGTATTTCCTTAGGGCTTGATGACAACAGAACACTTTCTGAACATTCAGTGCAGGTTACTTTTGAATAGTTTCTCTCCATGTTGGTTGATTCCGGGACTGTTGAATCTGGAGATCAGGACAGCCAACTGCATATTGTATGTCCCAGTCTGTACATCGAGAATTACATAACATGCTAGACATCATGTGGCTAGAAGCTCTGAAACTCTAGTGACATCCCCTTACATTTGGTGTAACAGCTTTAGCCGTGGCTTGTGGTGTTGGTAATCCTTGGCATCAGGTCCTGGCTACTTTGCTTCCCATCCAGCTAACTGCTAACACTCCAGGGAAGGCAATATAAAATGGCCTAAATCAGGGTCAGCTCATTGGCTCGACTGGCTAATCTTCCACCTTAAAGCGGGGCATCCCATATGGCCTCTGGTTCGTGTCCCAACTGCTCCACTTCCCATCCAGTTCCCTGCTTGTGGCCTGGGAAAGCAGTTGAGGATGGCCCCATGCCTTGGGACCACTTGCATGGGAGACCTGGGAGAAGCTCCTGGCTCCTGGCTTTGGACCGGCTCAGCTCTGGCCATTGCAGCCATTTAGGGAGTAAACTAGCAATGAAAGATCTTTCTCTTTGTCTCTCCTTCGCTCTGTAAATCTGCCTTTGCAATGAAAATAAAGAAAAAAAAAAAAAGCCTAAATCTTTAAGCCCATGCCACCCACGCAGCTGACCTAGATGAACTTCCTGGCTTCTGGTCTCAGGTGGGCCTAGATTTTTTGAACACTGAAGCAGTACATGGAAGATCTCTGTCACTCTTCCTTTCAAACTCATAAAGAAATCTTAAAACACCATTATATTTCTGTCTGCCCTACACAAATGTGTAATGACTTCTAGAAGGCACAAAACATAAGCAGCCGTGGACACTGCCTGTCAAACAAAGCAGGAGCATAGCTGCCTTCAAACTAAATGTTCTCAGATGCAGCTGCTCAATTATCAATAAGTGCTTGCTCACTGTGGCTGAAGTCCTCCACATGACCCCCAAGGATCCGGGCTTCTTCCAACCCCTGTGGGAGATCCGATAGTGAATGGTTGACCTCAGAGTTCTCGGCCTGCGAGGGCACTCCAATTCCTCGTGGTCTCCTTGGCAGATGGGATATAGCCGTTGGTGCCCATACTGATAGTCCTTGGTGAGGATCCAGGAGTCTCCAGGGTTGGGATACAAGTCTTCTCCTGTCCTCCTGTTCCACTCTGGGGTCCCTCCCTGCTCTATGTATACGATCTCCTGTTAAGGGACTGCCAGGATCGCTCTTGGAACCCACTGTATGACACAAGCTCCATTCTGGATTCTAGCTTCCTTCCATTGCCAATCCCTAGAGGTGGCAGATGAGAACTCTACAACCCCTGCCATCTATGTGGGAGACTCAGCCTGAGCTCCAGTTCCTGCCTTTGGCCTGGCCCAACCCCAGCTGTTGCAGGCATTTGGAAAGTGAACCAGCAGAGGGATCTTTGTCTCTCTCTTTCTACCTTTCAAATACACAAAAGTAAACTTTTAAAAAAGCATAACAGATTATAAATTCTCTTGCAAGATGCAAAAGTAGGCTTGAAATGACTGGACTACTTCAGTTTGAAGACAGAGTCCAGCATTGAAGGTCGCCAAAGCTCTGGGAAACACAAACTCTGGCAACTATAAACCTCAGTAAAATATTTATCTTCCCACAAATGCCCTGGTTGAAAATTCCCTGGGCTTTGGTATACATTGCAAATTTAACTTTGAACACTCCTGCATACTCCGTGGCTTGTGCTCTCTGCTTCTCTTCTCCAAGATCCATCTTGATCATCCCATTGTTCAAAGCTCCTTTTCAGACCGTTTCCAAACACTCTCACCTGCTGTTAGTTGGCAACACTCGATATGAGCAGAACATTGTTCAAGCCAGCATGAACCGCACAGTTCAAAGGAACAGCAGATGGGGAGGTGTGACCGGGGAGACAGTCAAGGGCGTGAGTGGGGCGTGCCTGTGGGATGGACTGCTTTATACAAACAGTGCAGCCCAATCTCCAGGCACAGTGTTGTGTCACACCAACTCTTTCACTCAACACAAGAACAACAGCTTGGGGACTCAGCTGCTGGTTTTCCAGAGGTTACAGTCACGACTTTCAGGGACCACAGCAGACAGACTAACGGTAGGAAATGAGATCACCCACACAAAATTTGTAATTAATTTTTAATCAAGAGGTCACAGTCACAGCAAATTCCTATTCTAATAAAGGAAAGTCACGGCAACCCCAGAATTACCAATGTGATAATCTAAAATAAGACCCAATGCTTTAATACTTTTAATGTGGAAAAACAAAAAGATTTTATAGTTTAAAGGTACATAAGACTTTATTTCCATATATTTCTTCAATCAGATATTTCATTAAAAAATCTCTAATATAGTCAGATTTACTACTGTTGTATAATAAGTGCTATTATATCAAACAAATTCATACAATGACTACTTAGGAAAGAAAAGAAACAACAGATTATAAAATCTAATAGACTGTAAAACATATTGCAATAAACATGTTAGCAATAAAAGAAAACAAATTACTGCCCTAAAGACGTGGAAACTGCATAACCATTTTCAGTGCTCTGTTTAACTTCATCTATAAGAAAACTCTGCTTTGGATAAGGAATTGCTTTATGAATCAGTCACCGTTTCTCAGATGATAAGGCACACAATCAATGGCATCGTAAACCACGGATCCATGAGAAAAGCCGCAGCTAGCAGATGGTACACGCAACCCGGCAGGAAGAGCAGACACCTCTGCAACACTGAGGTTAATATCAGAGCAGCGAACAACCGTGCAAATGGAAAACTCACAAGAAGCCCATCTTCCTTCTCCGGCAAGGGCTAAGCCTGCTAGCAGAAGATCACCCTGAAAGACCCACGTCATAAAGCAAATCTCCTAAAATACTTTGAAAAAAAAGTTTTCTTTCACAGTATGAAATGCCAAATTCCAGGCTTTATGCTTGAAGTGATATTTCTGCTAATTATGTTTTTGTGCAAATTGAAATTCTACGGTCATAATCTAGGTAACAATATTTTGTTAATACTTTTTGTTATATATTCCGTTAAACATAGCTATGGTTTTAAAAACAGCCAAAATTCCAATGTGAGATTCTTGGGTAAAGATAATAAAAAAAACACACTATTTCAGTAAATTGCTACTGTTGTCAACATATTATAATAGTTATTTTCTCAGTTGATTTCTGGAATAATAATCAAGACTTAGAGTCTCTGTCTTTATGAATGGATAATGATGGTCTCTTAAGAGAGATCGAAGCAGATTTTGCTAGTAATCCTAACTCAGAGTACTTTGCAAATTAGGATCCACATACATGAAGCAGACAGTGTCAGCATGTCTGACTCATGAACGCATTCTGGCCATTTTATAGTTTCATGTCCAAGAGGCATGGGGGTTCAAGTACAATGCTGTTTCCACAAACAGTCACCGTAAAGTCTGAGTTAACTGTCATCAGGAAATGGCCTTAGAGGTATGTTCATCTAACTGAACTACAAGTAAAGCCACATAAACAGAGGCAGAAACAAAAACATATCATGCAATAAATGGAACTGAGATACTGCACCAGACTGTCAAAGGAGAGAGAAATGGTTATAACAGGGCCCAGCGGCATGGCCTAGCAGCTAAAGTCTTTGCCTTGAATGCCTCAGGATCCCAGATGGGCGCTGTTCTAATACCGGCGGCCCCACTTCCCATCCAGCTCCCTGTTTGTGGCTTGGGAAAAGCAGTCGAGGATGGCCCAAAGCCTTGGGACCCTGCACCCGCTTGGGAGACCCAGAAGAAGTTCCTGGTTTCCGGCTTCAGATCAGCACAGCACCGGCCGTCATGTCTCACTTGGGGAGTGAATCATTGGACGGAAGATCTTCCTCTCTGTCTCTCCTCCTCTCTGTATATCTGACTTTGTAATAAAAATAAATAGATCTTAAAAAAAAAAAGAAAGAAATGGTTATAACAAATATAATTTTTAAAGAAATTGTACATGCCTCCTGAGCAAGAGGATCAAAGAATAAATAACAGAAGCAGCCAGCTGCGTTTCTGATATTCACTTTAATGTTGGCTACCCTTTTCTTTTCATCATCTGAGTCCCTGCTTCTTTTCAAGAGTTCCTGTGATAACCTCAGACATCAATCCGAATTCCATTTTTTGAAGACATCACTTGTCTGGTCCCTGCTAAACACATGAGGAATGAGCAGAGATGAGGTAGCCACGATGTAGCGATCACATAAAGCCAGAATGGCAAAGGAGAGGTTTTTCCAAATGGGCATATCCATAAACCATGACGGATTCCATCTCGGATATGGTGGGAGGCCCAGGATATAAACAACATCCATGGAAGAAAACACCAGGAATCTTTGAGCTTCAAAAGATGCATAACCAACTTCAGGGTCAGGACGGCAACAGGTATCACGGTGGAACAGTGAAGGACAGGTCTTCGTGGAAGACTTAGAGCAGCCTGAGGGGAGAAGTGAGAGTCATTTCCTTGCTGGTGAAGCACAATTTCATACGCAAAGCTTCAGTATTACATTCTCCAGAATCAATCAGAACTTCAGGGCAAACTGTCTTCTGTGCCACCTCAGAGCACATTTCCAAAAACTACGTAGAAAGCAAAAAATCAGATTAAAATGTGTGAAGGACCTCCTTTGCATCAAAACGAAACCAAGGCCTCTTTCCAGGGTCATTATTTTATTTGTTTAGACACCAGCAATCACGGATTCCCTCCTTATCATGTTCCAAAGTAAAACAGGTGTTTTACAAGGAATGCTTGGTACTTGACACATAACAGGAAGAGGTGGTCATTTCTCATTTTTTCAAGTATCTACTGGACATCTATTAGATGAGCCGGGAGCTGTTATAGCCTAGCAGTGAATGACATGGAGAAAAGTCATTAGTTTGTGAGTTTATATTTCTTTCCTGAAATATTTATAGACCATGAATACACTAAAGGTAGGGAAATCGGACATTCACATAGGCTTGGGCATTTGGCAAAGTGGATAAGACACCTGCATCTCAGGCCAGTGTGCCTGGGTTCAAGTCCCAGTTCTGTTCCTGATTGCATGTTTTTGCTACCATGCAGCCAGGGAGGCCCAGGTGATGGCGCAAGGGCTTGGGTCCCTGCCGCTCCTGAGCTCTGGATTGAGTATCTGGCTCTTGGTTTCTACTCAGCCCACTCTTGGCTATTGCAGGCATTCAGGAAGTGAGACACAGATGGGAAATATCTTCTCTCTCTCTGCCTTGCAAGTAAAACTGAAGTTAAAAAAAGAAAAAGGCAATACCCTCGTCACCACTTTAACTGTATTCCTGTGTGGGGTAGGTCACTGCATTGCTGAAGGCCTCAGACTGTGCACCAGAGGCTGTGCCCCAGCCGGTCCACTGCAGTGCAGCCAGGATACAAACTGGTGCTCATATGGGAACCTGGCACATGCAAGGCAAGGACTTTGACCACTAGGCTATTGTGCCGGGCCCAGGAAGAAACTTTAAAAAATTGAATGAATAGGTTTTCTTACCTAAATAACTAATCCCTTCTAGGTCTAAATGATGCTGGAGAGATCAGTATAATGGTGTTAAAGGAATTAAAGGAAAGACCAGACATTCATGTTTCTTACCTTTAAAGACAAGGATCTAGCTAGCAAAAAATGGTCTATGTCAATAACAGAGGCTAGAAATCCAGCTAAGACAATTTCTCCAACATCAGTCTTCTTCTTGATCCCAATGACTATCGCCCAGGACCACATGCCAATTACACAGTGCACTGCATTGTCTGAGAGGGCGCGAATCCAGTCACTTTGTTGAATTATGGAAAACTGAAGTATCCTGTCAGCTACTAGGCAAAATATTCCCAGACCAAGGCTGGAGAGAAGAGATTCAGTGCTACAGGCCTGGAGTGAAGCATGCGTCTTCCCTGTTTCAGTTGCCATTTTACACAGGTCAGCACATAGGAAAAGCCATCAGGAACGTCTAGTCTTGTTTTCATTCCTGGCACCCTACAACAGCAAGAAGAGAAAAGAGAAAAACACTCCTGAAGATTACGTGCTACCGTATCATATTTCATCAAAGTAATATCACAGTAATTTCACAAATTCACAACCACATTGAAAAAATAGCATCTCCCACATTGTTATAATATGACAAGGCTCAGTAAGAGATTAACTTTGAGGCTGGTGTGGTAACTCAATAGGGATTAACTTTGTAGAAACAACAATTTAGTATAGAGCAAGGGATACTTGAGAAAGCCTGCTGACTGTCATCTGTTGCTCTGAGGTCGTCAGAGTCCTCTCAGTGACGTGTGTCACATGCAGTGAAGGACACCCAACAACCGTGTCCTATACTTCTCCTGACAGCGAAGTCTTCTTCCTTTGGGAAACCTGCTTACCTCAACACCTGAACTCAAGAACTGGGCGATTCGTTTCCTCTCTTCCTAGGTACTCCGATTCATCTAGTGATGAAGGTAACCCAGTTGGGCTCCTTCCCAGAATTCTCCCAGACAGAGCAGGTGGGGAAGCTATCTCTTTTTTGGGGATGGGGTGGGGAGGTACGGGGTGGGAAGAAATTATTCTCCAATACATGACACAGCTTAGAACAATGACATCCCAGAAACACAGAGAACAATCCGAGAGCATCTTGACAGCATCGAGGTCTGAGGTTTAGTCTCCATGGTTCTTAAAGTTGATCAAATTCCTCAGTTTATCCCTTACTTTCCTGAGCAATTCCAGCATTTCCCAATAACTCGTCTTTTCATTTTTGTTGCCTCTAACCAGAAAATCCTAAGTGAAATAAAAGGATGCAGAGAGAGTTGTTGAGTTCAAACTTGGTATAGAAAACTGAAATCATTCCTCTATTTATAATTAACACTATATGATAACTGAGTTTTTGTATTATATTGCTTTAATTATGAGAAAAATGAATCAAATGGTTTGTTGAGTATGACTCAACTTCTGTTCTACAACAAAACTGTACATGTCATTATGTATATTTGCAAATTTACATGAAAAGATGAAGGACCCAGAATAGGAAAGAAACACTGAAACACAGGAACTAAGCTGAAGGAAAAGTGCTCTCTGATTTTAAGTCCAAACCCAGGAGCCAGGAGCTTCCTCAGTATCTCCCACATAGGCGCAGGGGCCGGAGCGCTTGGGCCATCTTGTGCTGTTCTCCCAGGCGCATTAGCAGGGATTTGGATCAAAAGTGGAGCAGCGCCCATACAGGATGGTGGCAGAATGTGGCAGCTTTGGCCATAGCACTGGCCCTAATTTTAAATCTTATAGTAAAGCTTTAGTAATCATGATTGTGGGGTTGGTATGAAGATAGAGAATTAGATAAGCAAAACAAGATAGAAAGTAGAATCAGAAAAAGACTTACACATGGAGTCAATTTATCCTGACAAGCTAATACAAAATATCCTTTTCTACAAATGGTTCTAAAATAACTGGGTATTCACATGCAAATATAATGAACCTCAATGTATACCTCACCCTAACATATAGTTCAAAATGACTCACATTGCTAGATGAAAAATATAAAATAATAAAATTTCTGGAGGAAGCTTTTGTGTCCTTGGGTTATATAAAAAAATCAAGTACATTATCAAAAGATTGATCATTAAAAAATACACTGGACTTCAAACTTAAGAATTTCTGCTCTTAGACACTCTTAAGAGAATGAGAAAAACATGTCACAGCTTGGAAAAATATTTGCAAATTTCATAGCCAATAAAGACTTTGAGTTCAGAATATACAATTCTCAAAACACAGTAATAGAAAGCCTAGCAACACAAAAATGGGAAAAATATGTGAAAAAGTACTTAACCAAAGACGCTGTACAGCCAGCCAGCCAGCAAGTACACTAAATATGCTCAATGTCATTATTACGGAAATGCAAATTAAAATCATGGTGTGATATGAAATGTACTTATTAGAATGGCTAAACTTAAAACAGGCAGTCCAAGCATTGACTGGGAAATGGAGCAAGTGGAATTTTCAAAACAGGAGGGATGAAAAACAGTACAACCACAACCACTTTTGAAAAAGCCTTGCAGTTTCTCAGATAGTTAAACATTCTCTAATTCTAATCCAGTTACTTCACTTCGAGGCGTTCTCCAAATGAATGTGTATATGTACATAAATAATGACTGGACATTTACACAAGTTTATCTGCATTAACTGCCCAGCAACATGTGAATAAAGAAAAATGGAATATAAAGAAGTCATATAATATAGATATGATAAACATCAAAATAATTATGCTAAGTAAAAGAAGCCAACCTCCTTATCTCCAAAATGTACATATTAAAACCCCAAAAACCGGGTCCAGTGCCATGGCCTAGCAGCTAAAGTCCTTGCCTTGCACATGCCAGGATCACATATGAGCACCGGTTCTAATCCCAGCAGCCCCATTTCCCATCCAGCTCCCTGCTTGTGGCCCGGGAAAGCAGTCAAGGACAACCCAAAGCCTTGGGACTCTGTACCCACAAGATACCCAGAAGAAGCTCTGGCTCCTGGCCTTGGATCTGCTCAGCTCCAGCCATTTCAGCCACATGGGGAGTGAATCACTGGACGGAAGATCATCTTCTCTGTCTCTCCTCTTCTCTATATATCTGACTTTGCAATACAAATAAAAATAAATCTTTTTTTAAAAAGTGTAACAAAAAAGTAGGCACATATTTTAACATGATTAATAATATTAATAAAACATGATAGGATATAGCATTCATTAGCATTAAGAAGTGTGTACAAGCTGCTAAGCTCCTAAGCCAAACCAACAGTACAATATAAAATACAATACTTTTTTTGGAGTTGGTATTGTGATGCAGGGGCTTATGAGGTCACCTGCAATGATAACATCCCATGTGGACAGCAGTTTGAATCCCAGCTGTTCCGCTTGCCATTTAGTTCCCTGCTAATGTGTCTGGGAAAGCAACAGAACATGGCTTATGTTCTTGGGCTGCTGCCACACGAGAGACGCATAATGCTGACGATTATGGTGGATGGACTGGTGGGTGGAAGATCGTTCTCCTTCTGTGTGTATGCATGCGCACGGCCATCTCCCTCTCTCGGTAACTCTGCCATTCAAGCGAATATTTTAAAAATGTAAACAAAAATATGTTCATTGTAATATATTAGTTGATACACGATACATTAAGCTTCTATGAAAAATGTCTCTATCTACTATTTTTTCTTTTTTTTTTAATCTATTTTTATTGGAAAGGAAGATATACGGAGAGGAGAGACAGAGAGGAAGATCCTCAGTCCAATGATTCACTCCTCAAGTGACTGCAACAGCTGGCGCTGAGCTGATCCAAAGCCAGGAGCCAGGAACTTCCTCCTGGTCTCCCATGTGGGTTCAGTAACCCAAGGCTTTGGGCCATCCTCGACTGCTTTCCCAGGCTACAAGCTGGGAGCTAGATGGGAAGTGGAGTTGCTGGGATTAGAACCGGTGTCCATATGACATCCTGGCACGTTCAAGGCGAAGACTTTAGCTTCGCCACCACTCTGGGCCCAGAACAGCACTATCTCAATAGCGGTTCTAAAAGTTCAGCTTTCTGGCATCTGTTCTACTCCAACTGTTTGTATAGACATGTAACATTTCTAGTAAGGTTTTGAATATTAGAGAAATGTAACAATTGTACTTTCTCTACCACTTATTGTCTGGTCATGACACCCAAGTGTATCCATTTCTTGTTCTCATCTTTCTTCTTAATCATTTTCTTCCTGTTCTATTTCTTATTCCTCCTTCCACAAACAAAATGGACTCCTGAATCTCTTAAATTCCCAAGCTTTTAACTGTTGTTGGGAAGGTGCCTTCAGAGCAATGACTATAATTTTCCTTTAAATGTGTCATGAATAAAACCTACAGTGCCATCGCTGTTTAATGAATATTTCATTATACTGTTAGGAGGAGTCAATAGATTAAGCACCGGCCTACAAATGGAAGCTGTTGTATTGGGATCTCTGCCTTTAGTCGTTTGGATCACGTATGTTTCTCTAGGACACGCAGGGACCATTCCGCTCCGATCAAACCGAATCAAACCCTTTCCCCATGACAGCAACTGCCCTCAACCACAGGCCTCTGGATGACATGCGCAACAATGTCTCCTCTTTCCTTAGCTCTCAAACACCTGATTACGCAGTCACTTTAACTATGCGGTTAAAGATTGGCCGGTAATAGTCTCTTAGATAGTATTTCTTCCATAACGAGAGATCTAACACATTCCCAAGGCAAATGTCATCTGTTTGCGCACTCCCCTCTCCCCACAACTCTCACAAATCATTTACAAAAATTTGTGGTAAAAGCAGTCTGAGATCCCAAAACTGCCTTTATTGTGCCTTACTAATATATTCTCTTGCCTCAATTGTAGCTGTGGCGAAAGTTCAGGTGCTTCTTTAAAAGCCAAAACATAAAAATGCCAAATGTGACGCAGCTAATCGGCAGAGAGAGGGAACACAGTTCTTGCTTTCACTCAAACTTTGTACAGCCACCACATCTCTCCAGAAAGAATGTGTAGCTCCTGTCACCGCTACAAACGAAACAGTTCTCAGCAAATTCCCAGAGTCGCGCTTTCCCGAGGCGATCGTGGTTGTTTTTAAAACGTCCGTTTCCAAGAATGGGGCAGAACGCTGTGACGCCTTGAGGGACGGGAGCACGTCACACAGGACAGCACCGAACCGTCTACCAAACGGGGCGCTAAAGGGTCTTTGCACCTGCCGAGGCTCCTGGCCCGGGCGCCTGGGAAAGCGCTGGGTGATGGCGGGACCCAGAGGGCGTGGAGCCAACGCGCACCCCGAGGCACGCGGCACCTGGCGACCCACTGCCCACGCACACCCCAGCTCCGGGCACGCCATCCACACCCGCACCCGCGGCCCTCCCGGCCCCCCAACTCGGTCTCCTGCCGCCACCCGGCCCCGTGCGAAGCTCGGCAATACCCACCCTCTGCGCTGCCTGCCGGAAGCAAGCGCCAGGCCCGCAGCAGCCGCGCCTCGCCTCCGCCCCCGGCCGCGCACCGAGACGCGGGCGCCGGCCAGAGCGGCTGCCGCGCGCGGGGCCGCCGGAGCGCGCCCAGAGGGAAGGAGGCCTTGGCGGGGCCGGGAGATGGCCCATTCCTCCGTCATTATACCTCCCCGAGGAGCCTGGGTGACAGGCTGTCCTGTTGGTTCCCTTCGCTCGGTACAGCCGCTCCTCCGGGGACGGTGAGCGCTCAGGGAGCTCGGCGGCTCCACCGTGCCCTAGGGGATGCCTCCTCGTCAGCGGTGATGGGGCTGTCCTGCTTTGTGATGACGTGGAAGCGTCTACCTCCAATGTAGTCTGACTCTAAAGAACTGGACCCCCGAGATGAGTTTGTATGATGGGGGCCAGGCCTCATTCTACCTCCCTGCCTCGGAGTGCTTCGCGTCAGAGACGTCCCGGAAGTGTCCCTTTGCAGGGACTTTCTTAGCCCCTTCCCGCTTTCGGTTTAAACAAGTGGCAGCTGGAAAGCAGACAGCAGCTGTGCATTCTTGAACAATCCGACGGCAAAGAAAACTACCACACTGAGAGCAAACTCCTAGACTGTTCGTACCACTTGAGTTTAAAAACTGTAGAACTTTTCTTGTCACACTTTTTTTTTTAAACAATGGGACTCAGCTTGGTAGAAAATTATAAACATTTTAACCTTCACATAATTTAAAAGCTAAGTTAAAAATTGTCATTATCATTTATTTATTCAAAAGGTAAGCAGCAGGGATCTTCCACTTACTGGTTCACTTCTCAAATGGTAGTAATGGCAGGTCATGCCAGGGTGAAGCCAGGAGCCAGGAACTCCATGCTGGCCTCCCAACATGGGCAGCAGGGCCACAAGTACCTGAGCTGTCTCCCACTATCCCAGATGCACTGGCAGGAGGCTGGATGGAAACAGAGCAGGTGTCGGGTCTGGCACTCCAGTGTGGAATCTGGGTGTTGGCAACCCATGGCACCACACTGCCAGATTTAAACCCTTGAGTGCTTTTATTCACATCAAGGACGTATTTTTCTCAGTTTAAACGCAGTAACAAAATTTGTCTTATAGTCCAGAACTTCTGGGAGGACCAGCAGAAATGGCATCTGGTAAACCAAAGCAGAACAGTTTCTTGTTTTCCGTGTAGCAAGTCTACCGCCTCCTGGCACCTGTCCCGAGCAGCAGCGCTTTGCCAGCGGCCAACATGCCGGGCGGTAGGCATGACTGTAGAGTGATTTATGGAGCCATGTTCTAGCCGTAAGATCTAGAAGCACAGACTGTAAATTAACAAGGTTGTAATAAATAGCATTTTGGTAAACTCATTTCTCCTCAAGATTTTGCTGTGTTAGTGTTTTCATATATTCAGAAACTTGGAATCTGTTTCATGACACAGCTTAGATGACATCTAATATTTGCTCAAGTGCTGTTCAGCTTGTACTAGGCCCTGGATAAAGTTTTTCACTACTGAAATTTGGTTATCTCTCAGTTGTTTTAGAATATACTTGGAGACACTAAATGACAAATGAACTATTTTCCTGTATATTAACAAAAACTAGAAGATTAATATTGATTTCTCCATTTATTAAAAAAAGCTCGACAATTTTACATGATATTTTCTGATAAATTGGAAGAAAGCAGTTCAAAATTTCAAGCTTTTATTCACAGTATAAATATATATTTTCTAAAAATTTATGAATTATATAAAATAGATACAAAGTTAAATATTCTCATACAATCATTGTACAGAAGCTAATATATACAATTTCTTGGCTTACTAATAATTTTATATCAGTCACTTGGAGTAACACCCCTAAAATTTAATAATGCAATGATTCTGTTTTTCACTTTTTAGAGTTTGATAGAAGAAAGTCAATATCCTGTAGGATTTGAGAGGTTTTTTTCAATGCTACGGATACTCTTTTTTCATGAACTTCCTCTGGTGAGGGTTCTGAAGATAATTTAGAGTGATCAGAAGACTGCCTCTTTTTCTTTGTAGAGACCTGATTTAGTACACTGCTGTTCTCCACTAAGACTGAGTCGCTTAGTTAAGGAGTTTTTTTTCTTCATGTTATACCATATAAATGCTCTTCTTTTCACAATTCCTGGCTTTCACAGTAAGCTATGACCCCTTAACTGAGAGGCAGATCTCTGGGATCCACAATCCAGGCGAGACTGTGGAGTTCACCAAGGCCGCCTCCTATCAGTGAGGAAATCAGGGGAGGGAGTCAGGACAGGACAGCGAGCCAGACAGTGCGGAGGTAAAAAAGAGTGTTTGAAGGGTGGGGGTAGAAGAAAACAGAATTAAAATTTCAGTAACACTTAAGAGTGGGGACTAAAAAATATGAGACAATATGATTATAAATGATGTGTTGATACCTGTACTTTTTAATTTAAAAAAGATGTAGATTGAAAAGAATCCTGTCTTCTGTTCTAGAATGACTTTATTATTTAACATTACAGAAAAATCATAAGAACAAATTTAGATGAATGCAGTGCAAATATACAGAACAAAAAGTTTGTAAATAAAAGAAATCAGAGATAAGTATTAAAAGAATGGTAATCATTTAGAATTATATGAATTCCTAAGTAAAAAATTCTCCAAGGAGATTATAACCCTATTGCATTATGTTTTGTCTAATTTAGGTCCAAAGAAATGTATAAATTAACAGTGTACCTTCCATAGATAAGAAATATCTTAAATTACAATTTTAAATATCTGTTGACTCAACAAAGTTCAGTAAGAAATAAGTACAGATCTCTATAAAGTATAGATGTGAATTAAGCTAAGCCTATAATGGAAGACAGAATGCAGAAAAATACACCCGATTTGAAGGATACAGTTAAACCTCCGTATCTTTTCAAGTTCAGAAGCAACAGACCTATACAAGAAAAAAAAGTTCCAGTTGGTGGTGTGTTTCCTATACATTCACGAAATTTTACATAAAGCAAATCTGACTTTTTGCATAAAGGTTAGAACTTTAAAAAGAACCTAAAAGAATTCTCTTATATTTGCAAACAATCAACTGGTATTCACTGAGTGTTTTGCAAGGCAAGTGAATAAAAGTCCCTGTCTCAAGAATTCTCTGTGACTGGGCACAGTGGCTCAAATCCTCACCTTGCCAGAATCCCACGTGGGTGCCAGTTCATGTCCTGGCTGCTCCACTTCCCCTCCAGCTCCCTGATTATGGCCTGGGAAAGCAGTAGAGGATGGCCCAAAGCTTTGGTACCCCACAGTTACATGGGAGACCCTAAAGAAGCTCCTGGCTTCAGATTATCTCAGCTGTGGCCACTGTGGCCATGTGGGGAATGAAACAGCAGATGGAAGATCTCTGTGTCTCTCTTTTTAACTGTGATTCTGATCTGCCTTTTCAACAAAAATAAATCTTTTTTAAAAAGTGAGCATTCTTCTTATTATTAATATGAGCTTTCCAAAAAAATTTTACAACAACAAAAAACAACAAAACAAAAAGCCTTATCAAGTGCGATGTTTGAAGGCAATGGGCCTTCTATGACTTCTTAGACCAAGACCACAAAGTACTTGAGCCTCTGCTGTGCATATGGGAGACTCGAATGGAGTTACCTGCGCTGGCTTCAACCTGGTCCAGACATGGCAGTTTGTGTTCACTTGCAGAATGAACCAGGATATGGAAAAATCTTAGTCCTTCTCGCTCTCCCTGTAACTCTGCCTTTTTAAATAATCTTTTTAAAAATGTTTTGTGTACTTTGCACATATAATACATTATATATACTGAACTTTTACAGAATGGATGTTTGTGACATCTCAGTTTTTACATAGTTGAATTATGTGTCAAAGCATAATAACGTAAAAAAATTCCTTCTGGAGTCTATTATTCATTGATTTCTTAAGCACAGGGCACTAACATCAAACATTAGTTCTTGCCATAGTCTACAGAAAGAGCTACTGGGCCACTGGAGTTGGGTAGAAAGCTGAATAAATAGTCCTGGAGGAATCCCTTACATATATGTCCTCCATTAACTCATCAGGCTACAATGAAAGATATGAGCAGTGGCATAAAACTAAAAAGAGTTTAACTTGACAAGCTTCCTACAAATGTAACGAGATCACCAGAAAAGGCTATTTCACTGTTCACAGCAGGAGCTGGCCTCCACTTTACTGGCTTTCTTACAATGAACCCTGGTGTACATTCATTTCTTCTTTGTATTCCAGCCTGTGGAGAAAGTCCTTCCATCACTTTAAAAATAGGCTGTAGAGAACTTGGACAGGACTTATTCTAAAGCCTGCTGATTCTTCAGCATTAGAGAACAATTTGCTGGGCCCGGTGCAATCGCCTAGCGGCTAAAGTCCTCGTGTTGCATGTGCTGGGATCCCACACAGGTGCCGGTTCTAATCTCGGATGCCTTGCTTCCCATCCAGCTCCCTACTTGTGGCCTGGGAAAGCAGATAGAAATTTAAGTAGCTGTTTTTTTGTACAGTACTGTTCCTCTATCAACTCTTGACAAAAACTTTCACAGTGGTGCTGCCTTGGGCTTTGCAGAGAGAATGGCTCTGCTTTCCAGTTAATTTGCCTTGTTTTTCTTTTGCTCACTATTTCACTTTTCAGTACGACTCATAATTTTTATTGCTTGTTTTCACACAAAAAGGCTGGTATTTTACAAGCTTTGCTTGCTGAGCAATGGTGAACAGTTTTCATAGCCATGCACAATTTTCTTTTCTCCTCTGATCCCTGCCTTTTTTTTTTTTCTTTTTGACAATTAGAGAAACAAGGACAGAGTTCCCTTCTACTGCTTTACTCCCCAATAGCTGAAACAGCCAGGGCTGGGCCAGGAGCAAGAGCCAGAACCCGGGAACACAACCCAAGCCTTTCACAAGTGGATGGCAGGATTCCATCTACTGAAGCCATCACCTGCTGTCTCCGGGGGCCTGCACTGGCAGGAAACAAACTGGGAGCTGGAGTCGGAAACTGCATTCAGATACAAGATGGAGGTAATTTAATTCCTACGTCAAATGCTTGCACTCCACCCCTGTACTATTTTTGGCTAGCTAACTTTTCTGCTCCTGAACAAGCAGTGGCAGCAGGATGAGAAGTCTGGAGAGCAGGAGCCTCAGACACCGAGATATTCAGATAGCACCCATGGATGTGATGTGAGAGAGAATTCACCCAGAGGTGGGTGATCTACTATACTATACTAAGCTACCTCACAGCTGAATTTAAAATTGTTCCTGGTATCCTTTTTACTTCCTGATATCCTTTTCCCACTGTATTCAGACAGTGCATTCAGTGACTTTAACCTCTTGAATAACCTTTCTTCCTATCATTTGTTTTTTTTTCCCATTTAGGAACTTTAACACCCGAACAGCATTTGCTCCAATGTCAACAGCTTAGTTCCTTTATTATTACTAAAATATAAATAATATGTCTTAACTTGTCCCATAAAGTTTTCAGGATGAATCTGTCACATAAAATAAACCCCTCATTTTGATGTGAAGTTTTCAATGCAAAGTTTCTAACTTTCAGATAAGACATAGTTTGGTGAAATATGGAAATCCAGATGTCTGGTTTACTATTAGTTGGCTTTCTTACACAAATTAAGTTAAAAAGAAATAAAGATACCAATTTTCTTCAAGAACAGAAGATGAAGTATGTGTGGGCAACTCTCTTGCACTAGTCTGAGTTAATCTTCTGCACCAGGACGTTACTGCTGTCACGTATCTAGGATGGACCCATTGAAAGAAATAAGTGAACTTTCACTTGTTATTAAAAATCCACAAAAAAATAGAAAAAGACACTAAGATAATTTGAGAGTGAGAGATCTGCTAGGCAGTTTTCAAAATTGTTTACATTGCACATAGGAAAGGCAAGTTTTCTCCATAATTCATCAAGAATAAAATAATTTACTTACATGTAAGATTACTAAAAATACTTAAAATCAAATCCAATATTTACATTTTATTTGAAGTTTAAATCAAATGTTAATTTTCTATTTAAAAATAATTTTCATTATGTTTATCATGAAAATGTCTACACATACAACTAAGGGAGCATTCACTCACTGAAATTTAAATGACCCAGAGCCTGTGGAGCTGTTTTATAAAATGAAATTAAAAAAATAAAAAAGAAATAAAAAGAAATTTAAGTGAGAAAACATGCTAATGCATCCATAAACATACATAGGGGTCTTTAAAAAGTTCATGGGAATGTGTGCGTGGTTTTCAAATGTTCTGTGTGCCACAAAGACTTGTATTAAAATTTGTGTTTGCACAGAATCTAGAGGTCCTAGGGAGCGTGAGCCATGGTTTGCAAAGGGCCCTAACACAGGAACATGAGTTCTGCTCAAATTACAGCAACAACAAGCAGTACATTTTAGGTGAAGAATGGTGAAACCATTGGTACTTAATAAAAAGTTTAAGACAATACCTCCAAGATATCAGTTGTTTACAAATAGATAAATTCTTTTTAAGGAGATAAGATTATGTTGAAGATGAAACCCACCATGGAGACCATGCATATGAATTTGCAAAGAAAACATTAATTCTGCTTCTGCTCTAATTGAAGATGAAAGATGGACATTATTGACATCTCAATTTTTTGCCTTCAAACATTCTGGCTAAAAAATTAAACTTTCTCTATGATGGGTAACCAAAACCATTGTACCAAGATTGGCTACAGACAAGACATTTTTTTTTGAAACAAGTGAAATTAATACTCAAAAAGCATTTCTTCAAAGAACCGGTACCTGTACAGTTCTAAAGACAAAGCATGATCAAAGATACCAAGACATGGAGATGATACTGTCAGAGCGGAAGAGGCTTTGTCAAGAGAAAGGTCACGGCAGCTGCTTTCAGGGATGTTCAACTCACTTTGCTTCTGAGCTCTCAGAATGATACGGTAGCATCTGCTCATGATCGAAGTGTTTTGAGAAATTATCTAAAGCTTTAGCAGACAAGCACCTGGGAAATCTTTACCAGACAAGCACCCAGGAAATCTTTACCAGATAGCCCTTCCTCTATCGTGATACTAATCTTATTGATTCTTCTCATTGAACAACAGTAGTTTTGTCAGTTTTGGACAGCAAATCAATAAGCATCCTGATTTGGTCTCTTTTGAGCCCTCCCTCCCCCTCATAAAATCTTAAGTCTTTAAAGGATACCCATTTTTCTTCAGTTAGATATACAAAAAGGTACACTGCAGTAACATTCCAGAATCTCAATTCCTGTGGATGAACTAACTGGCTAAATATCACTAAGGAAATGTTTTGGCTTTGATGGACATTACATGAAAAATACACTTTGTATTTTTTATTTTTATCTATTAATTCCATTTCCATGAACCATTTGAAGCACTCCTGTATATACACACAAGTATTATATATAATCCACTGTATATACAAAAGAAGTACTCAGGTTTAATAAAATAAATGGGCTGAAATGATTGGCTCAAACAAACAGTAATAGCTACTATAGATACTTTTAAAGAAAAATTACTCAAATAGCATTGCCTGTTGCAGCATTTGGACCAAAAAAAAAGGATAAAGTCAAACAGAAAAATCAATTCAAGTAGGATTTAAAAAGCAATCTTCTATGCACATTATCAAGTAATATTACTAAAGTGTAAGATTTTCAGAAACAGAATTACCCTTTCAAATGATATACACAAGTGAAAAAGCATAAACAGCTGATTTTAAGAATTTTCTCCATTTTAAGAATTACCATCAGCTAATTCAATTGTCTAGTTTGCAGAACTGCTCATGATTTTAGTTATTTGTGGTAGAAAACCTTATTTAAAATTGGATAAGGGATGAGTTAGTTGGTTAACATGCTGGCGAAAGTGAAAGCCAGTATGTCTAGAAGATTTCATTCCGAGCATCACCTGTATTAGCAAATGGATATGATCAGAGCTGACCCTATCTATTTAGTTGTGCTAAATGCCAATAAAAGTACAAACTTTAAAAACTCACTGAAATGGCTTCATTGACATGGAAAATCTAAGTGTCAATTAAAAGTAAAACATGAGAGAAAGTTGCTTTTCAGTACCTTTCATACGGTCCAGGGTATTCAGTTTGAATTAACTGATGCTGTCCATTAGGAAACGTTAACTTACACCAACCTAACTTGAGACCTTGTTTTACCTTAAGAAGCAAGAAGAAAAAGTACAGTTTATCATTCTAAATCTGAATACAAACATGTGAACAATCTCTTCTTACTGCATTATAGGTTTTAAAGATAAGCAGAGGCATCATTAGAAATTTTGGTAATTAAAATGCTGTATTTTCACTGGTTATGGGTATTTAGCCACCACTTTTATGGATAAATATTAATGAGGATAAATCTCACTATAATGGACCATCTTCATAAAAATAACGATTTGTCACACTATTCTGATTTTTTTCTGGGAAATCCATGAGATAAGTAAGGCATATAGACAGATTTTATGTCTCATAAAACAAATGGAGATGGCATAGTATTTTCTTTATTCTGCTTCCAGAAAAATAACCAGTAAAAATAAATTTGGGGGCCCGGCACGGTGGCGCAAGTGGTTAAAGGTCCTCGCCTTACACGCCCGGGATCCCATATGGGCGCCAGTTCTAATCCTGGCAGCCCCACTTCCCTTCCAGCTCCCTGCCTGTGGCCCGGGAAAGCAGTCGAGGACGGCCCAAAGCTTTGGGACCCTGCACCCGCGTGGGAGACCCGGAAGAGGCTCCTGGCTTCGGATCGGCATAGCATCGGCCGTTGCGCTCACTTGGGGAGTGAATCATCGGACGGAAGATCTTCCTCTCTGTCTCTCCTCTCTGTATATCCGCCTTTCCAATGAGAGAAATAATAAAAATAAATCTTTAAAAAAAAAAATAAATAAATTTGAGTCTAAAGAATACACACCTGTTCATTTTTATCATCAGAAGAGCTCAAGTTCCAACTTAGGGTTAGAGTAACACCATCTAAGAAGATGGCGTGTACTTTGTCATCAGAGTAGGCAAGAAATCTTCCCAGGTTAGGTATGAGTGATTCTTTCAAAAGGAAAGGCAGGATGCTGCTATCATTCATCCCAGATACCTAAGCTCAAGGCAATACAAATAACAGATATACAAGTGCTATATGTCAATCAACAATTTAATAGTAATTTAAAAATTTAAAAATATGAAATATGAATTATCCACTGAGAAGTTCAAAACGAAAATTAACTCTGAGGTAACTTCAAGGTCTTATTCAGATTCAGAAGTTGAACATTACAGAATTTTTATCTATTTTAATTTTTCCAGAAGATACTGAAAACAATCTATTTATAAGCACATGAAGCTCTAATATTTTGTGAAGTCACTGTTCTGAACTTCACATAGATAGAAATTAGTAACAGAGGTTTGCATTTAAGCCAATGTAGATATAGCAGAAATCACAGTCTGAGAATCACTTCCTCCAAATTATTAAACAATTTAGTTTTACACTTGTGAAAACATGGATTACTCTAAGGGTTTATAAATGACCATTTTTGCATAAAACCCAGTGAATTCCTGGCCCTTCTTCCATCAGAAAAAAAGAAACATCTATACACAATAAAGTATAAATAAAAAGCCTGATTTTTTGGTATTTGTTTATTAGGTGGGTATTTTTCTGAAAAAAAAAAAAATTGATATTGCAAATAATTTCTTATAGGACCGTAAATGAAGGAAGGTTTAACTCAGAAGTATGGACTAAGCAGTGAAACAAAAATTTCTTGCTTCTAAAATAATTTTCAAAACATACCATTTTCCAGCAGCATAGGTGATAGTTATGGCTTAAAGAAAGCCTCATCCTGGCACAGTGTTGAAGAATTCTGTAAACATGAAAAATACTTAAGCATTTGGAAATGCCATTTCCCACACTCAATGTCTTACAACATTTTAGACGGTCACTAAGTTGCTCACTTCCACCAGCTGCATGGAAAACTCTCCTCGCAGACAACATTAAGCTTCCTGAAAGGAACTACTGTTTCCTTGGAGCTTCTTAGCTAGCTGAGATCTCACTCCTTTTTTAGGATACAGAAGATCCATGGCCAGGAAACTTGGTGGAGCTGTGACTCAACCATGTCTATCACATCCAGCTACAGATTCTCCTTCAAACCTGTTTCAGAACTTTATTTATAAACTTATAAGGACTAAGAAAGTATTAAAAACATAGAAACCAAAGAACCAAAATAGAGCATTTCTTTATTTCAGTCTCAGAAATCTTGATTGTTCTGAGTATGCTCAAGCTGTATAAAAACTTGAAATACGCCATCAGATTTCCAATTGACTCCAAGGAATAAAAAGTATGTCACATGTACCCAGAGGAGGTATTTATTTTCTCTCAGAACTTAAACATGGATGCTTTTCGGGCCCGGCGCGATGGCGCAGTGGTTAAGGTCCTCCCCTTGCATGCCCCGGGATGCACGCCGGTTCTAATCCCAGCAGCCCCACTTCCCATCCAGCTCCCTGCCTGTGGCCCAGGAAAGCAGTCGAGGACAGCCCAAAGCTTTGGGACCCTGCACCCATGTGGGAGACCCGGAAGAGGCTCCTGGCTTCGGATCAGCACAGCATCGGCTGTTGCGCTCACTTGGGGAGTGAATCATCGGTTGGAAGATCTTCCTCTCTGTATATCCGCCTTTCCATTAAAAATAAAATAAATCTTAAAAAAAAAGGATGCTTTTCTATATTTAAAATTTAAAACAAAATGAATTTATCTGAGGTGGAAAGACAGAAAGAGGCACATAGAAGTTCTGGTTCACTTTCCAACGACCAGCATCGGCCAGAACGGGGCTGGACTGTACCTGCCCCAGGTGCATGGCAGGACCACAATTACTTGAGCCTTCTCTGCTGCCTTCCAGAGTTCTGCTGCAGGTGCAGCCACTAGAGTCCGAGCTACAGCTGGATGTCAAATCTAGAACTGTGGTGTCTTACTTTTTTTTTTTTAAAGATTTATTTTATTTTTATTGGAAAGGTGGATATACAGAGAGGAAGATCTTCCGTCTGATGATTCACTCCCCAAGTGAGCGCAACGGCCGATGCTATGCCGATCCAAAGCCAGGAGCCTCTTCCAGGTCTCCCACGCGGGTGCAGGGTGCCAAAGCTTTTCCAGGTCTCCCACGCGGGTGCAGGGTCCCAAAGCTTTGAGCTGTCCTCAACTGCTTTCCTGGGCCACAGGCAGGGAGCTGGAAGGGAAGCGGGGCTGCCGGGATTAGAACCGGCACCCATATGGGATCCCGAGCGTGCAAGGTGAGGACCTTAACCACTTGCGCCACCACGCCGGGCCCTGTCTTACTTTTTAAACACAAGAAAATGTGTCCAGGTTTCCGGACATACAACACTTGTTTTAACTGAATGTAAAGAAATTACCTGGTGGCCTGGTTGATTAGAGAAGACACAGAGAACAGACTTCCTGGTCGATCTGGAGGTAAGTTATTTACTGAGTAAGTTTTCTCTTCTCTCTGAAAATTATTTCAAAATGAAAAATCTAACTAATAATAAACATTGGTACTTATTACTTAGTAATTATTTTCTTGAAATATGTATTTGCATAGTGATAAGCAGTTTTTTAAAAAAATCTAAAACCCATAAAAAGTTATATTGTTTCCCATTTTCCCATTATACATTCAAGTTATATTCTAGTAGCCTATAATTTATCATGCAATTTAAATCTTCTCTATACCTAGCTTAACATAACACATTAGCAGAGAATTTATCAAATAAGTGCCCTTTTCCCCTAATACAAAATGACTTATATAAATTTTAAAAATCGTGATTAAATAAATATATCTTGATATATTAATAAAGAACTATCACTACAGTTTGCGGAAGTTCTTGGAATTTTGCCAAGATTCTTAGAATTTAAAAATGTTATTTTATTATCCCCTTTTCTCAGACTTATGTTTCCAAAGGCATGTTTTTCCAGGCTTTTCTTCTGCCTTTGGGATTATTTTTAGGTAATCCTAACAGGGTCAACATAAATATAACAGAAACATTTATGGAGCAGATTATTTTCCACACAGGAGCACAGCTCAAACCTAATGGGGAAAAAGATACGCAGATGTGAACTCAAAACACAGGGAGGCCTGTTACTGCCCAGAAAGCCAGGGTGGATTATATGACTTTTCTAAATTTCAATCCATGAAAGGGGACAATGCCTACCAGTATCCTAAGGATCAGTGATATTAACACATAGCTCTCCCATTCTGTCTCTGCTTCTCAAACACATTTTTAAAAGACAGTAGTGCGGGCCCGGCGCGATGGTGCAATGGTTAGGGTCCTCGCCTTGCACACCCAGGATCCCATATGGGCGCCAGTTCTAATCCCGGCAGCCCCGCTTCCCATCCAGCTCCCTGCCTGTGGCCCAGGAAAGCAGTCGAGGACGGCCCAAAGCTTTGGGACCCTGCACCCACGTGGGAGACCAGAAGGAGGCTCCTGGCTTTGGATCGGCATAGCATCGGCCGTTGCGCTCACTTGGGGAGTGAATTATTGGACGGAAGATCTTCCTCTCTGTCTCTCCTCTCTGTATATCCACCTTTCCAATAAAAATAAAATAAATCTTAAATAAAAAAAGACAGTAGTGCAACCTGAGCTATCTACTATAGTATAAACCCAACAACTCTGAAATATTACTAACATAATCCACTCTGTATAAAGAATACATTTGTTTTATACTATTCTGAAAAACAAAGCAGTGTGATGATTTAGTGATCACTACAAATAGGTAGATGTCGGAGGTTAGATTGGGAATAAGCAAATTAAAACTCATTAACAAAATATCCACATGATGCTATAGCCTAGTAAACTTATTATCTATTTCACTATTTTAAGTAACAAAATAATCTTAACCGCTGTCAAGCAAGTGACAAGAAACTTAAAAATTAGGTTGTTAATAATGACCAGGTATCCCGTCCCCCAGAAACAAGAAGAAGAAATAGCAACTTTGGGAACAATGAATTCACCCAGTTTTCCCTAAACCTTATCCTTCCCACCCCGATCAATCATATAATCGTTATTTTTTAAAAAATGCTTTAAAAGTACACTTCATATTGGGAAAACCATAGCTTTTATGCAAATATTAAAGAATATTTGTAAAAATTTAAAAAACAAAAGAAAAGAATGACCAGGTATCAATTCAGGCAGTAAGACTGTATTAATTTTCTAGACTGGAGGATAGGAACCTGTTACATAAAAGACGAAATTTCCCACATACACATGGATTTAGAAAGAGGTATATAACAGGATTCTTCTGGAGATCCCATTGTCGCCTACCTCCTCTGATCCTTTGTGACTGCAGTAATACGTATAATAGCTCCCAAAATAAGTTCCTTCTGATTTGAAAATAGATCCATCTCCAGGATAAATCTCTATTGAGTTCCCATTTTTATGGGTAAGTCTAAGGAAAAGAATTATTAAAGCATTTTTTCTCCTGTGATCAAATAACCCAAGAAGTCAGCCATAAAAAAAATAGCAAATCAAGAGTCTTCTTGTTTAACAGAAATGCAAGCCATATTTTGAACCAGTGGCTAAAATTAATATTCTTATAAAAGATGAACAGACCACACAGAATTGATTTATGAATTAATTTTAGTAACTAAACTCAGAGATTCTGGAATTTAGGCATCTTCTCATCCACTTCGTGTCCTCACTGCCAACCAGAGGTTGGCCTATATAGCAGTCACCAAAGCAATATCTACTGCATAGGATTTGTTAAACACTACATTTCTAGAACAGGAAAATAAGAATATTTTGTAAAAATGAGATTAGAGTCCATAATATGACAAATGAATTTGACCATTTGTATAAGAAGCCATTTTTTAAGAGATTTATTTATTTGTTTATTTATTTATTCGAAAGGCAGAATGATGAAGAGAGAGAACAGATTTTCCATCTTCTGGTTCATTCTGCAAATGACCACAATGGCCAAGGTTGGGCAAAGCCAAAGACAGAACTCCATCCTGGTCCTCTGTGTGAGTGGAAAGACCCTCCGTACTTGAGCCATCTTCCACTGCTTTCCGAGGCACACTGGGGACGCTAGATTGGAAGCAGAGTAACCAGGACTGAAACCAGAGCTCAGATATGAGATGCTGGTGTTAGACATGACAGCATAACCTACTACTTCACAAGTGTCCCCAAGCAGTCATTGGTAGGAGAATGTGACTGAGAGCACCTGAACAGCCAGGTACAATGAAGGCATTGCATATATACATATAAAAACATAAGCCAGGGAGTTGGCATTTAGCCTAGCAGTTAAGAAGCCAGCTAGCCTTTCAGCCTAGGTTAAGCCACTGCCCACAAGGCTGACATCCCCTACAGGCACTGGTTCAGATCCCAGCCACTCCATTTCTGATCTAGCATCCTTGCTGATGAACCTGGGAAGGCAGTGGATGATGGCTCAGGTGCTTGGGACTCTGCCACACACATGGAGTCCAGGATGAGGCTCTTGAATTTGGTCTGCTCCAGACCCACCCACCAGGGCCGTTTTTCTATGCAACTCTTTCAAACAAGTTAAAATCAGTTTTAAAAAAAATGCCACCTGGACTGCTCATATCTCATATCAGAGTGCCTGCGATTACATCTTGGTTCCACTCCCAATTCTAGCTTCTTGCTAATGTATATCCTGGAAGTCACGTTAACAGCTCAAGCAGGTGGGACCCTGCCACCAAGCAGGAGACCTGAATGGAGTTCCCAGCTTCCAGATTCAGCGTGGCCCAGCTCCCACTGCTTCAGCTATTTTGGAGAGTGAACCAGCACATTTTAGTTCTCTGTATCTCTGTTTTCTCTGCCTCTCAAATAAAGATAAATAAAAACTTCAAAGTCAATTTTACTGCAACATACATGAAGACTGTTATCATCAAAAGTGGTGAGGCTTCATGCAGGGAAAGCTCACCCCTGGGCTCACCGCAAAGTCATCAGTGTCATTCCAGTACTATTCTTGAAAGAGGAACTTGGCATCTGCCCAGCACTAGAACTGTCTTGGATTGTGGGGTACAATTAACTCCACCAAAGTGCTAAATGGAGGGTGCTAACTATCAACAAATAATTGCGACACAATGAAAGTTGAAATCTCCCTTTAGCTCTGCTCAACTTTAAGTCAGACTATTTAATTCAGATGTTTTGAGGAGTATCCTAAATAACTGATATAAATATCCTTTGCATTAACAAAATTGATCTCTTACAGACTTTGGAGCCGACACTGAAGTCTTTTAAATATAGGGTTAATATGAGTCACAAGACCAATTTGCTAATAAAAGTAGTCTTGAGACCTGTAAAACTCAAACACAGGAGCATATTCCCCTCCTAGCAACACTGTGTCCTCTTGTGGAAAGTCTGCAAAAGGCCAGGTTCATGTCCTTGCTACCTATTCAACCCACATGCCTTACCTGTATGTAACACCCCTGCACCAAAGCACCTTTACTGGTTCAGGATAGGAATATTCTTCATCAAATTCACTCTGCAAAATTGAGTCACCAAAATTCCACCTGTGAAGGTTAACATACAAGCTCTTAGTTCTAGTTACTCCACAAAATTACCTTTAAAAGTCAATAAAACAGTGCTACTTGTAACAAGACATTGTTCAACTCTTTAGACCAAATAAAAACAGCAATTAATATAAAAGTATATTTTACAATTAAAAGGTTATTTTTTCATGTTTTTTCCCAGTGTTTATTATTGAATTGCCACACAATTATGAGTTAAAACTTTAGTAACCTTTAAAAATTAAGATTTAGCCAAGCAACAAATATTTACTGAAACGCCTCTGAGGGCACCAGGCACTGTCTGTATTCTGGGGACATAACAACCCCAGCCCCTCTCCCAACCCAGCAGGTAAAGAAAAGCAGACATGGTCTCTATCCTCGACAGAGATGCCTACACGGCAGGAATGCTAAATACCAAACATTTATGATTTGTAAAGAAAAGGAAAGACTGGATGTTATGGGATGTACACGGACCTAACTTTTCTAGGACCTTCAAGGAAACGACCCTTAAGAAGTTAAGTTTCAGCAGAAATCTAGGAATGACTACAAGTTAACCAATTGAAGAGATGTAGGGCTTATGCACCTGACAGAAACCAGGGGAGGCTCGACGGCGAAGGCTTCAGCCAGCGCTTTAGGCAGGAAATGAAGGCTGTTAAGAGAGTGGTGAGTGACTGATACAGGAAGACACCAGAACAAGGAAGACCTGGTAAGCCAAGGATAATGGACTTCAATCTAAAGCCAGGGGTAAGTTACTGAAAAGTATTAGTGGAGAAATATGACATCTCTTTTCATTAATTATATAATGCCAATTTTTCACTGTTAACCAGCTAATCATAGCAAGGCTGCAAATCACAGAGAATCCAGGGGATCAGTTCCTGACTCTCTATGAATTAGTTGTGTATCTTTAGTAATTTAACATTTCTCCAGTTGTCAACAAAACACAAACAACAGGACTTACCTCATGGGATTACTATGAGAATTAAATAGGTAAAACACAACAGCATCTGGCAATATAAGCACTTTGGGTGCTAGCTAGCATCTTTATTACTTGTTTTTTATATGCCATTCAAATGACAAATCTATATCTATTAAGCTACTCATGTCTTAGAGGAGGTAAAGTTTATTCATTGCCATAGAGCTGTTTCATGCATACCCCTTTTGCAAATGGACATATTTATAATCAGGTAACCAAAGTCAGGGTAGCCAGCATTATAACCTGTTGAGATCCGTGTTCCAGGAGGCAAGGTCATGGCCTCCAGCCAGCAGATGCTCCTCTGGGCCGGCTCCTGCAGATCCCTGGCAGGATTCCTGACCCATTTCTTACCACGTTCTAAATATTCCTTTTAGAGGCAGTGCCCTTCACTAGACTACACTGCCAGAAAGCAGGGACCACGTCCTCACAGCAGTCAGGATGCTCAACAAAGTAGCTAGGGTCAAGTCAGCTTTCCTGAACATCCCATGCCTGAATACAGACTAAAAAACAGAAAACACATTTGCTGGGGGAAATTATTTACTGCATAAGTGATACTTACTAAGTTACTATCTAAATGTAAAGTCTTGGGATCAACTAAATAAACTGTCCTTATGAACGGTTTCCAAATCTTTCAGATTTAGAAAGGAAATTATCCTTAGAGAATGGTGTTGGCGAAAGCTCTGTGACTACTACTGTGTTCTTCCTTTACCTGTGCAGATGTGGGACAGGACAGCTAAGTGACACAGCCTTGGGAAGAACAGAAATCTCTTTTTCTCCTTCCTTGGAAACATCAGAAGGTACAATTTCACTCTCGGTGAAATCTGCCTCATTATTAGACACGTTGCTCACTTTCTGATGAAAGCGCAGCGCTAAAGACAGAGGGTATTTCCATTCCTCTGGGCAGGCGGCCACAGACCAGCACTGCTTTACCCATGCGTAGGTGTACTTGTGTTTGGTTTCGGGGGGAGACAGTTCCTCCTGGCCTTCACTTCCACAGCCTGTCTCCTTGGGAGGTTCTCGGCACTGCATGAGGCGCCAATAAAGTTCATTTTCTTTATTCTCCAGTCTCTGTCCTGACGGACTTCTGTATGCACAGATTTTGCCAGCTCTCCCAATTAGCTTGTCTTCGGAGGCTTGATTATTTCTTTCCAGCAGTGCTGCCGATGAGGCTGGCTTCTGGCTAACTTTGCACAAGAAATGCACTGTGAACTCATGCTGGGATCTGGGCAGGCAAAGAGTGGCGTGACCATCAACAGAAGTGATCTTCACAGCGCCGCTCTCCAGACAGATCAGGCCATCATCGGAATCAAGACGGGGCCACCTGACTTGTGAGATGTCAATGAGGACACGCTGAATTGAGGGGTTGAAAAGGGATAGTGAATGTCCAATATTATGTTTTGTGCTCAAGTTTTAGGTTTGAGTTCTAGCTCCTTCACTCCCCACTCAGCTCCCTGTTAACATGCACCCTAGGAGGTATCAGATGATGGCTCAAGTACTTAGGTCCCTGCCAGCCATATCAGAGACTAGAATTCAGGGTTCTGTCTCCTGGTTCTAGCCAGCACTACTTTCTCACTCTGCCTCTCAAATAAACAAAAATTTTTTTCCACTGACAGGTAAACTTTCTATGACACAGTTTCCACAATTATAAAAAAAAAACAAACAGATATATCTATTCTGATTGGTAGGATATTCATTTTGATCAGCAGGGACCCATGCCATACTGATGTTATTAAATGTCTTTAATATTATTCCTAGGTCTTGGCACACAGAAAATCCTCAATAAATTACAGATATTATTCATAAAATTCAAATAATATGCAAAAGAATAAAACTTTCATACTCTGCCCAACTCTGAATGACAATATGTAAGTTACTAAAAATGGTCACAAAATTCCTCATGTTTCTGAGAATGAAAAAGTCTCCAATGTGAAAACTCTGATTAGAATTCCTAGGTACAAAGAAAATGGTACTACGAACTTCAACTTTTGTAACTTACATGTTCCCACATCCTGGGAATTATATAGACCCAATATAGCAACATGTCTATCCCCAAATGTCCGGAGGGGGGCAAAAGCCTAACCAGTAAACTACCCATTTGTCATCACAAATATAACTTATAAAAATGAGACTTAAAATATTACCTTTTTTCGGGCCCGGCGCGGTGGCGCAAGTGGTTAAGTCCTCGCCTAGCACGCCCGGGATCCCATATGGGCGCCGGTTCTAATCCCGGCAGCCCCGCTTCCCTTCCAGCTCCCTGCCTGTGGCCTGGGAAAGCAGTCGAGGACGGCCCAAAGCTTTGGGAACCTGCACCCGCGTGGGAGACCCGGAAGAGGCTCCTGGCTTCGGATCGGCATAGTATCGACCCGTTGCGGCTCACTTGGGGAGTGAATCATCGGATGGAAGATCTTCCTCTCTGTCTCTCCTCTCTGTATATCCGCCTTTCCAATAAAAAATAATAAAAATAAATCTAAAAAAAAAAATATTACCTTTTTTCTTTCTGATGGTATGAGGTTCTCAGATAAAAAAAGGCAAGTAGCAGAAGAGTTTCGAAACTCTAAGGCTCGCTGCAGTTGCTCCTATATAAGGAAATACAAAGCATAGTCCTAAAAATAGGGAATGATTTGAAAGTCCATTGGTATGACAGTAATATTATGATTTAATATTTCATTTAATATTCATTTAATATATTATCATTTAATATTCTGGGCCACCTTGGCAATATTTTGATATTTAAAAGAGTACAGTTTGGTGACATTCACACTTACTCGGTAAGTGCTAATAACGAAGTGCGTCCTTTGACGAATTCTTTGTGGTTGCTCTAAAGGATGTGATGAAACAGGAGGTGGCTTTTCAAACAAAAATTCAGAGCCACAGGGAGAAAGCTGCAATCTAGAACCATCTACATACTGTACTTGCACCGAGTCATCTTCATAAAGTATCATTTGCACTTCAGTTGTCATTGTTGTGACAGGATGGTTTTCCAAGGGGAAGACTGAAGGGAATTAAGAAATTTAGTAGTACAAACAGTTCTCTTTATGTGACAAAAGTTCAATCAAATATAAAGATATTTATTTTCTGGAACCAGTGTGGTAGCCTAGTGGCTAAAGTCCTTGCCTCGAATGTACCAGGATCCCATATGGGTGCCAGTTCTAATCCTGGTGGCCCTGCTTCCTGTCCGGCTCCCTGCTTGTGGCGAGGGAAAGCAGTCAAGGACGGCCCAAAGCCTTGGGACCCTGCACCCGTGTGGCAGAAACTCCTCGCTTCGGATCAGCTCAGCTCTGGCCGTTGCAGCCACTTGGGGAGTGAATCAATGGATGGAAGATCTTCCTTTTTGTCTCTCCTTCTCTCTATATATCTGCTTTTTTAATAAAAAATAATCTTTAAAAAAAGATATTTATCTTCTAACAACAGAAGGAAAACAAACTGACTACTATTGTTAGAGGAAAAGTGATCCTGGTTCCAATGCTTACATGGTCAGAATTTAATGTTCTTAGCAGAATGCCTGGATTAACCCCTAGCTCTTGACCTCAATAACATAACCTAGACGGAGAAGACGGTCAGTTCAGACAGTGCTAACTAGCCTTAGAATTTTAGTATTACTTCTCCTAATATGATTTCTCTATACCACGTTCTCAGGATCTCATGACAAGCAAATTCTATCGTTGCACTAATAATGGGAGACGAAAGGTACCTACAAGGCAACAGGGAAAAGAAGCCTGCAAAAGAAACGCCAACACCTAGAGGCTTGTCCCTGCTCTGGTAAGGAGCCAGCTCCTGTTGCACACCTGAGCAGTAGGAAGACAACTGATTAGATCTACAGGAAGATAACTGATCAAGAAAGCCTGGCCAGTGTGAAACCAGGGATAGTGGCAATCAGTAGGGAGGGCTCCAGGAGCAGTTGATATGGAAATGAACAGGCCAGAAACTCCCTAGTCTTCAGCTTTGGATAACAGATCAAAGAGAAGTGCTTCCTCTCACAGGCAGAGGTGTGGGCACTCCCAGTTTTCATTTTCAGTCAGCTCCTCAAACTCTCCTCCCAGGTGCCTACAGGATCCTCTGTCTTTAAAGTCTGATGCTGTTGGCCCCGGCGCGGTGGCGCAAGTGGTTAAGTCCTCGCCTTGCACGCCCGGGATCCCATATGGGCGCCGGTTCTAATCCCGGCAGCCCCGCTTCCCTTCCAGCTCCCTGCTTGTGGCCTGGGAAAGCAGTCGAGGACGGCCCAAAGCTTTGGGAACCTGCACCCGCGTGGGAGACCCGGAAGAGGCTCCTGGCTTCGGATCGGCATAGTATCGGCCCGTTGCGCTCACTTGGGGAGTGAATCATCGGATGGAAGATCTTCCTCTCTGTCTCTCCTCTCTGTATATCCGCCTTTCCAATGAAAAAATAATAAAAATAAATCTTTTAAAGTCTGATGCTGTTAATAAACTTCAGCGATTGACCATCAATCAGTAGTCCACGTGTATTATTATTTTTTAAAGATTTATTTGTATTTTTATTAGAAAGGCAAATATACAAAGAGGAAGATATTCCATCCGATGGTTCACTCCCCATGTGGCCGCAATGGCCAGAGCTGAGCCAAACTGACACCAGGAGCCTCCTCCAGGTCTCCCACGCAGATGTAGGGTCCCAAAGCTTTGGGCCGTCCTTGACTGCTTTCCCAGGCAACAGGCAGAGAGCTGGATGGGAAGTGTGGCTGCTGGTACTAGAACCGGCATCCATATGGGATCCCAGTGCGTTCAGGGCAAGGACTTTAACTGCTACGCTATCACACCAGGTCTCCACGCGTATTATTACTGGCCCTGTGCACCAAGTCCATTGCTGCCAGACACAGCACACTGGCAAGTTCATCTTCCTGTGCTGTGATTTATCCTCCTCTTCCTGAAGTCAACTTCCTCTTCTTGATCTCTCAAATGTCTCAGTCTTTACCCAAACTCTGTGAGGTGAGGCAAAAGGGAAGCCAGAATCGAGGTTCATTCAGTGGCCATTTACCCTTGGGTTACTTCTCTCCCCACTTGTAAAATGGGAGCAGTAACTTGATTATGTGAGAATTAAAGAAGACATACTCAAACAGCATTGCAAATGTGACCTTGCGGAAGCTCCACATAGCTTATGAAATGCTTGGATTCCTTTACAATGCCACGTGCATTCCCCCTACATTATGCTTGTCACATAATTCAGGTGAATTGAGTTATCAACTGTCAGAAAAAAAAGTAACTTTTGATAGTACTGTCTCTAGCTTGCCCCATTTCCTACCAACAGATCTCTCAGGTTTAGTAGTCGGTCACTACACACTTTCTGTATCAACCATCAGCTGTCGCTCACTGACATTGTTTAGCAATGGGCACCAGGGCTTTCCCACACCCGATGACTTCCCATGACAGCGTGTTCCATCTTCCCTGGCACCCCACTGCACTCTTCCCACTCCACCCTTCAGCCAGAATGGGCTGCACTGGTTTCCCTCTCTGTTTATTTTCACTTCTGTTTTGAGTGTAAACGTTGTTTTTTCATCAGTCCCTGAAATCAAGGATTTTTTAAGACCTAACCATGTTTTCCATTTCATTTCTTCTTTCTCTAAGCTCTTGTCACCGAAGCCTCACTTTTGCTTTTTAAAATCTTACTCCCTTTTACTGTCAGTAATCAGCTTTATGTGATATACTCTAATACTTTATGGCCTATTTCAGAATATAAATATTTGAACATATGGACTCTCCACAGGAGACTAACAGACCTCTAATTTCTGTCTCTAGAGAACTTGTAAATCTACTTGACCTCTAACGTTTTCAGCTAGCTGCCTGCTAAACTTCTCCCCGTGTCCTTGTCCCACAGTTAAGTAAAACTCAGCCTCTCCCACCACAAGCAGACTTCAGTAACATCCCTTAATTTTACTTTCACTCTTGCTTCCTGGATTCCTGTCTACAAACAACAACCAGAGGAATTTAAATAAATAAACAAATAAATAACAATCCAATCACAATCAAATCTTTTCTTCCCTGGCTTAAACCCCAAGAATAGTTTCCATTTGCATTGCAAATCTAAACAACTATCATTTACTGTGGTGCGGTCGTGCAATCTGGCCCTACTTACCTCGCTAAATTTCGTCTTCTTTCAACCTTCTTAAAATGCCTTTGTGGCGTGTCAGTAATTTAACCAAACCCTTTCCAGGTCGGAGTCTCTGCACTGCTTTTCCTGCCTAGCTTGGCCTTCTGCCCCATCACCAGGGTGGCACTTGGCCTTTGCACACCTGAAGCCCTAATCTGACCCACTAAAGTTGCTCCCAGCCATCTTCCAGTCATTTTTTTCCTACCTCATTGGGTTTCTTTGTTTGTTTTTCTCCTCACAGAACCTGCTAACACAAGACAAGTATTGTTTACTTCCTTGCTTCCTATCTTTTCTCAGGATGATGTAAACTCAATCAGAGCTGGGAGCATATCTGTTTTACTCAACTGTGCCTCCAGTTCTAACACACAGGGGGCAAATGAAAGGACACAAGGGAGCCACTGAATAATGAACATGTTAGATTCTTGGTCCTTTTGAATTTGCAATTGAACTTATTGACATTTCAAGGCGAAGACCCGAAATTAGCAATATGTTCTCAGTCTGTTTTCTTTTTCATCGTTGTAACAAGTCCTGACTCTTAAAGCTGGTTCTGCTCTGCTCACTTCCTGTCTAAAACCTTCTCCCTGTAATCCACGTTTAGTCCTGTCGTCATCCGTAACTGCACAAGGCAGGCTACACCAACAGCTGTAATCTGTCCTGTTGAGGCACTTATCAAATGTCAACAAACTCAGGCTAACTTGGCCCCTCACGCATGAGACCACGCACGGACACACTGGATGTGTCCATCTTCGGCCCCTGTACCAGGTATCCCGAGGGACGACTGCACTCGACTTCAGGCACATGCAACAAACCTTAACGTCTAGAGTTCCCAAAGGACTCCCGATGCGGCGCCAGCCCACATTCCCGGCTTCGTGACTTCGACATTCATACAAGAATCCCACTTCAAGGAAACGGCCGCCAAACCCCACGCACTCACTCAGCGGTTCTGAGGCGACACGTTGGCCGCTCAGCGGCTCCTAAGCTTTCAATGGCCAAAGTGCTGGAAGTCACTGGTCTGCACCTCAGGTGTATCCGGGATGCTTCCAGAATCTGACAACAGACCGGGCGAAAGTAACGGCAGAGGGGCTTTATGGGCGACGGAAAACGATCGACGCCGTGGAAAAGCGTGGTCACAGGGAGCGTGCGCTGAGACAGAAGCCCACCGGGTCAGGGCAGCGGAAAAGCGCCGGTGGCGAGCCAGCAGGAAGGCCAGGCCAGCAGGGAGGACACGCCAGCGCAGCCGCCTGGCCAGCCGCCTTTCAAACCTCCCGGCGCCTCTGAGGACGCCGGATGCGCGGGGCAGCAGAGCGGAAGTCCGTCGCTGGGCCACGCCCCCGGGGCGGGGCCCGAGCCTACGCGGTGGGAGCTGGCTTTCCCACTGCCCAACGGAGAGGTAACCTGGAATGTAGGTTTCAGTGGAGTGATGTTTATTTAAATAATCTAAATAACTCAGTGTAGCGTTTAAAAAAATTACTTGGCCAAAAGTAAGACCTTTTCATTTCCTACTTTAGTATCAGAAAATGTCCTCACGCTGTATATGTATTCCTAACCCCTCTCCAAATAGCAAGTAGACATGTTGGCTCTTAGACGGGTGCCATTGAGCAGTCCTTAGTGCACGCTGAGGATAAAGCAGCTGAGAGGCCCACTGCCTCAGCGGGACTGAAGTTAGCCGTTGGATCATAGTTGTGGTGGTAAGTGTCCCTGAGATGGAAATGCAGAGGTCCTTGAGCGTGTGCACTGGACCGATGTGACTGGGGTGTAGGACACACCTCCTCTGGAATGGCAGCAAGGCGCTGAGGCCCAATTGAAGGATGTTTCCCCAACAGTTGAGGCATGAGGAGCGAGGAGCGAAGTCTGGAAGAAGCCTGCTATGGCTAGTCCCACTTTAGAGCTTCATGGAGTTATGATTTAGACTTCAAAACATTTTCTGGTATAAAGTTAGAGATATTTCTAAAACCAAGTTGTTTTCAACAGTTCTATTGAGATATAATTATTAGAGGCTTTATGGGAAGGTGGGAGCATCAAAAGATGGGGCACAAACCTAATATGCAAGTGGATTGCAATCTTATGTGAAGGGTTAATACTGTCAGAAAACCAGTTCCACTGATGTGTTAACAGTCTACAGTGCTAGGTTAGGTCCTACTTCATCCCTTCCTTTTCTTTTTCCACTGAAAACTTCACATATACAATTCTACTACAGAGTTTTGTGACTATCTTGCCTTTTACAAAGACTTGGAACTGTTGAGTAAGGAAGGGACTATCTATTGGATGCAAAAGTAGATGTGGAAAAGCAGGAGAATGGCAGTACTCAGTACCTGGGGAGATAGACAGCGCAACTTAATAAAAGTTGAGGGGTGTGATTCAATCAGGGGCTTTAAGAGAGGCAGGAATCAAAAACACTGCCAGGATTTCTGGCTGGAGTGAGTCAGTGGCAACACCATCAATGAGAGGGAGACAGAGAGATAGCAAGGATTACACTCTTAAGTTCAGCTGGTGGAAATAGCAAGTTCAAAAAGCTCTGGGATCACAAAAAAGGCGAGGAGAGGGCAAGGGTGGGAGAGGAGAAAGCGTTGTCTGTGTTAAAGACTGCTGAGCAACTTGGTTATCTCCAGTAATACACAGGTAGGTTTGAGGCCATCTTTGAACAGCAGTCATCACACAAGCTGGGGGCCATAACATTTTTATAGCTGCTGCAGGACCTTAGAACAAAATATTTCCTGTTGACTTTGCAGCTGGCTCTGGCTGTCCTTCCAACCAAAATTGCAAAGCAGCTGTTTCATCCATTTAAGCCAAATTTCATTCATAAACAGGTTCTGACTGTTGTCAAATATTCTCTTGCAAGTGTCCTATCTTCCAGTCATCTGAGTTCAGCTTCCAGCCATGTGAGATGATTCCAGATGACTATGTATCTTCCAGGCTGCTTGAGCTATCACTGGCTCATAATTTTTCCATGTAAGGCCTCAGACAACATGCAGCAGGGAGAAATTATCCCACTGTGTCCTGTATGAATTCCTGAACCATAGAATCCATGAGACTAACAAAATGGTTGTTGCTGTAAGACACTAAGTTTGTGTGGCTTTTTAAGCAGCAGCAGTATCTGGAATGTATCTTGCTCCTCTTCATGGGTACTGTGAATATAGCATTGTTGAGCCAGTGAACAAATACAAGATGGTCATTCCTAAATAACTGCTAGGAGGCTTAAGGTATATACAGTGAGCATTCCCTGGTCCAAGGTACTACCTCTTCCAATACCTCCTTACCCCACAAATTTATATTATGTGGTATTTTCAGAAAACTGCACATTATGCTAAGGGCTATCATGCTAGAAGAACAATTTTGCAAAAAAAGTAATAGAATTCAACTTTCCCAAACCCAATATTCTATACATTCTCCTTTATAATAAGGAATCAAAGTTTTAATGTTTTTTAGTTACTGGTTCCTCTAGCAGATTAGTTACTGAATTGAATTCTTACTCAACAAACACTGAATGACCTATCTTCTGTTTTAGTATAGTTTGATTTTAAACCTCATGTCATATAAACAAGTTCAGTAATTTATTTAAAATGCCATAATGCCACCTCAAAAATTTAGAGGAAACAAAACTATTTAAGTTTTATTTCAAAATCTAATTTTAATTCAGACTGAACAAGCAAGCAGAAAAGTGAGAAAGCTAACTGTATTAGCAGACACAGATGTACCAAATGTAAAACAGTGGGTTATTAACCGAACTATTTACATGCATATTTACAAGCAATCCTTTTGTACAGAAGTTGCCTTTAGTTGGAAAAAGATTTGACAGTCAGTAAAAATATTAAATAGAGTTGAAGTGGTACCACATTCTAGTAAAGTGTATCAGAAAAGTGATCTTCAGTGTGTCTGAAAGTGAAAATTTGAATGATCAATATCTAGTAAAATTCTCTAGTACAAAAGTTAATGCAACCCATGCTACAAAGTGCAAGTGAGAAAACCATATAGATAAAGTGGAACAATGTTCCTGGCCTTAGGGTCAGGGAGTGAACATAAGTAGAAAAACAGAGCAATCCTGGAATTGCAATTAATCCTCGCTAGAGAGTCTTGGTTGCTGAGCTAGGAGTTCTCTAAGCTTTTTATTTATTATTTTTATATTTATTATTAATCTTTAAATGACAGTTTAAAAGCCCCCTTGGTATCCAACAGCATGTGCAGATGTAAATCAGTTGTCAAGGATATATTCCAAGATTTTGTGAAGATTTCCATGTTGTAGTTCATATTGGAAACTCAATTACTGATACACTAAATGTCAAACTTACTAGCTGTAAGACTTGTATCTTGAGGGGAAAAAAAAAAGAAGGTTGCTAGGTCGCTACATTTTTGCGATTATATGTATTTCCAAGGCTACGATTTTTTCTCAAGAAACTAGGTTTAATGTGTCTAACCAGCTAGCAAAATTTACTTCCAACATTTATTTCAAAATCAATTTTATTGCAGCCAAAACAGAATTAACTGTACATAATAATCTATTTTATATATATACACATTTTAAGTTATAGGGAATAAAGTTTATTTTGGCAGATAAGTGTTAAACAAAATTAAAGTTGCATACATTAGTAACGTAACTCAAGATCCTTAATTTGATATAACAAATTTTCTTGCTGTCCTGCATTCTGCTAAATCACCATACCTAAACTGTTTTATAAAACTGATACACTGAAATTTACTTTATTGCTTTCGCTTACGCTCTGATTCCAAACAAAACTTTTCATAAGCTTCTTCTATCTCTGGGTCCATCTCATCATCAATATCATCCAAGTATCTGCAAAAGAAGCAAAATGTCCCATGAGTTTACTGCTTTTCCATTTGGAAAATCTGAGATGCTAAGCAATGAAACCCAAAAACCCTGTAAACAACTTTCTTAGACTGATTAATTATGTAAGTGGCACTCCTCAATCAAGGGTATAATTTGACAAGTCAAATTCACACTGATTACAAGTCCCTATTATTTTAGGCTATAGCAATCTTAAAAGTTAAAAACTGGACATTCTAGGTAAATTTAAAAAGCTCATTAGAAATTCAATTTTAAGTTTACATTGGCACAAAAAACATTGAAACCTTTATGTGTGATTTTTTTTAAAAGTTACTGACAAATGTAATCATAGGGAAAACTTTCCACGGATTTCACAGTTCTGTGCTAACAAACTTTACTTTCATTTTCAACATAGTTTTTGAAGCTTCTATATATAAAGTTGGGGGTTGGCCAATAATAATGTAAATATATAAATTATCAAGAAGCAGTTACACTACCTAGAGACATATCTTCCTATTAGCCCAAACATTTTTATATAGTAGTCTGTTTTTATTTATTTATTTAAGATTTTTATTGGAAAGGCAGATTTACAGAGAGCACAGAAAGATTTTCAATCCACTGGTTTATTCCCCAAGTGGCCACAATGGCCAGAACTAAGCCAATCCAAAGCCAGGAGTTTCCTCCAAGTCTCCCGTGTGGGTACAGGGTCTCAAGGCTTTGAGCCATCCTCCACTACTTTCCCAGGCTGTAAGCACAGAGCTGGATGGGAAGTGGAACAGTTGGGACTCGAACTGGCACCACAGAGGTTGCTGGCACTTGCAGAGGGTGGTAGCCAGTTGAGCCATCATGCTGGGTAACCTGTTCCCTTTACTCTTGTTCCTGTAACAGCTCAAATCTGAGACTTTTTACCATGTGCCAGGAGGCTGTTGAGCATCTGAAGTTTTCTCATTAGGCTCTTAAGAAAACTTAATGAGGGCCCAGCGCGGTGGCGCAAGTGGTTAAAGGTCCTTGCCTTGCACGCCCGGGATCCCATATGGGCGCCGGTTCTAATCCCGGCAGCCCCGCTTCCCTTCCAGCTCCCTGCCTGTGGCCTGGGAAAGCAGCAGAGGACAGCCCAAAGCTTTGGGAACCTGCACCCACGTGGGAGACCCGGAAGAGGCTCCTGGCTTTGGATCGGCATAGTATCGGCCCGTTGTGCTCACTTGGGGAGTGAATCATTGGACGGAAGATCTTCCTCTCTGTCTCTCCTCTCTGTATATCCGCCTTTCCAATGAAAAAATAATAAAAATAAATCTTTAAAGAAAAAAAAAAAGAAAACTTAATGAGAAATACAGTGTTTTAAAGATGGATCAGCAGGTAGAGTAATTGCCCCAAATCTTAAAATATTGGAAGTTATTATTTTCACATCTAGGTATAACAGTAAAATATTCTTAAATGCATATTTATTTTTACAAATGGACAAAATATAAATAGTTTTTTTCTGGATCAACAAATATTCAGAATCACAGTATAACAATTTTCTGACAATTTGTATTATATAAACATACGTATAACATACTGTAACTTTCAAATCCAATGCCACTTTTTCAGTTTTCTTTTCTCTAGCCAAATCTCCATCCACAAATTCGCTATAGAAATTTCATCATGAAATCTAGTAACCTTTCAAAAAAGCAACTTACGGATCACCAGCCCCGGATAAATCTGTTCCATTTTCTTCATAATCTGGGAAAAAATCTTCTCGTTCAAGTAATTCTTGATATTTTTCTTGGTAATCTAGGAAACATTAGAGAAAAACTAAATGCTGAGGAGAAAAATATGAAACAACCTGATGCTCCTAAAATTTTTTTTAATATTACTTTCCATTTAAGTAGGTCCAATGTTTAAACAGCAGAAAAGTCAGAATTATAGAAATGGCTTTTAGAAAACTTATATTCGAATATGGCTTGCTTTTGTACTTCCACAAAGTATTTGGAAACATTAAAATAATGATATAACTACCCTTCTAACTGGGTTGAAAATCAGAGGCACTGTACCACACTAGGTCTAATCTAATACTGTGCTGCCCTCATTCTTCACTGTTCTCTTACACGCACAAGATTGGTTATAGGACTACTGGGGAAGAAAAGCCTTCCTAAGCTGTATTTCCTTCTAGAAAGGGCACCAATATCAAATACTCCTAGTTGCCAGCTCTCCATTACTATTGCATAGATGGTAAAGGAAGCTATCTGTAGTAGCTAACAGAAACCGGGCCATGTTTCCCAATCAAGTGAGGATTAACTGTCAAGGCCCTGAGCACAGAAATGATTCTATTCTACCCTTAGACACAGTAGGAAGGCAGCTACTTGGCAAATGATTTAGCTTTGCCAATCTTCCCTGAATTAGATACGCCTAAGCCAGACAGCTTCTATAGCTCTCTGCCAGCCAACTGTTTTGGGCAGTTACTGTGTACCTTTTAAAATCAGTGTTTTAAGAAGTCACTTGTACTAGTGTTGTCCTGTAACGATGGCACCCATATAGGCACCACTTTGAGTCCTGGCTGCTCCTCTTCTGACCTAGCCCCCTGCTAATGCCCCAGTAAAAGCAACAGAAGATGGTCCAAGTATTTGTGCCTCTTGGGAGACCTAGAAGAAGCTTCAGGCTCCTGGCTTCAGCCTGGTCCAGCCCTGGCCATTTGTGCCCATTTGTGTAATGAACCAGTGGATAAAAGATTCTTTGTGTCTCTTTTTTCTCACTGTAACTCTACGTTCCAAATAAAAACAGAAGCCACATCAAATTTTGACAGCATAATTACACTGGATATTTCAACATCTAATTTTGGCAATTTAGAGACAATCTTTTTTTAAAAATATTTATTTTATTGGAAAGGTAGATATACAGAGAGGAGGAGAGACAAAGAGAGAAATGTCTTCCGTCTGATGGTTCACTCCCCAAGAGACCACAAAGGCCGGTACTGCGTCGATTTGAAGCCAGGAGCTCTTCCAGGTCTCCCATGTGTGTGCAGGGTCCCAAGGTTTTGGGCCGTCCTCGACTGCTTTCCCAGGCCACAAGCAGGGACTAAAAGCCATCTACAATTGCTGCTCATGCGGCAAGGAAGATGACAAACAACACTGGTCTTAGGATATAAAAGGGATCTGGATTTGAAAACCACAAAATGGTCGGAAGGCAAGATCTTAGGCTCAGGTCAAACAGAAAGCTGGGATCCATGCTCCACCTCCCTCTTTCCTTGCAAATCTTTGACCCTTCAAAGACTGTTACCTTAAGTAAAAGGACACCCATGAAAAAAAATAAAACGGGAATCTTCTTAACTGGCAGAGATGGCCAGGAATCCTGGCTGCTTCTGTCTGAGTTTGCAATGGGGACAGAGCACTCAAGAAGGGGAATCTCCAGGAAATTTTTAATACTTGCCCTGGCACTTCAAATTTCTACTGCCCACATAAAGAGCCCCTTGACAAGAAAGTAATAACTTGTCAAGTCAGCAATATCCCTGTGGCTACTAGCAGAAGCAGACCCGCAACCATTCTGGATTCGCGGGCCTGAAGTCCAAGCCAGGGGGAGTTCTCAAGAAGACAGTTAAAATATGGAAGTATTCATACAAGGCTGTCGTCTAACTTAGCTTGCAAATGCTCTGGAGAGAGCACAAGTAACAAAGTGAACAAAGTGCTAGTTACATCCGGTAAAGGGTACATGGATATTTTTTGTACAGCTCTGTTTTTGTTACTTTTCTCTCATTGGAAAATGATTTAACTTTAAAAGTTTAAGGCAGACCATTAAAAATAAGCTTATAATAATGACATAAGAGACAACTCTTCTGAGATAATCTAACACAAAGATCTGGGATGAGAAAAAATGATCTGAAAGGGTCAAGATTATTTGAATAAAATGCAGAAATGAAATTCAGTTTGAGAAATGGGATTCCTATAAAAAAATAGTCACTGGAAATAGGATACACAGATTAGACAAAGAATCACAATGAAGTCAAAGCAATCTGAAACATCAGTGAAGAGGAAGAGTTGGCTTAGACACTGCATTTATGACAGCAAGGAAGGACAACTTCAGAGTGAAGTCTTGGCGTAGACAGAGATTAGCAGAAAAGAGCTCAGCAGAGACACAGGATTGTAGGGCAGTTACATGTTGCACAAAGAAAGAACTGTTCATGCCTGTTGCTAAGATAATAGCTTAGGGAAAAAATATTTTGACTCCATTATATCCTATATATAAAAATATAGCCAGGTGCGTAAAGGAGCTAAATATGAAAATAGCAAAAGTATCATTCTTATGAGAAAACTCAATTTGAAAGTGTTAAAGTTTTTCAGATCACAGAAAGCCAAAGCAGGAGTTATAAATTTTGTTTACATTAAAACAAAGCTGCTGTATGACGACACATTTAGGAATGCAAAGTGGAGGTGGAAAAGATAAACCGAAACCCTCAGCCAATTAGGAATCACTTTTTTCCAAGTTGTATAAAGAATTACAAATAAGACAAATTAGCTTAGCAGATACAGGGGCAAAGAGGATAAAACAGGTAATTCTTAAAGAAATCAAAAGGTCAACAGAAACCAGGAAAAGAAATTACCACATGCCAGGGAACTAACATGGCAGCAAGATGAAGAATACACTATCACACTAACAAAAACTAAGTTTAACAGAAAGAGCTGTCAAAGACAAGCAGCAGGAACTCTCACATACTGTTGCTGGGAATATAAGATGGCAAATTCATGCAGAAACCAATGCAGCAACATTTAGTGAAGGTGACAACATTCACAGCCTGTAACTTAATGCTACATTCTCTCCTTAAAGAAAACACCTTTGTTTTAGACATAGAAGATGGCCAATGACTGCTCTCCGGAGGAAGGTAATGGGAAAACTGGACAATAAAGCTGGTTGTAATTTGTACTAAGCAGGAAAAATTTCTCTTGCTGACCTTATAGTGTCGTTCATCACAATGAAAACAGTGTTTTAAACGCCTGTGTCTAGAAAAGGAAGCATGCAGATGTAATTAACTCTGAATCATCGGCTGGAAATCAACTCTCAGTTTTAACCCATTTTGGTAAATCGCTAACTATGGGAAACCAGGACCATCTTTTCCCTCCTTTCTAATCAGTAAGAGTACTACAAAAATGGGTGGTAACAATGGTGGTATTTCATTGAGAGTTCCTCCTATCTCCTACTGTAAAGTGCAGATCAACACTACACAGTCAGATTTTCATCTGAAATGGCACACATGGTCTCCAAACAATACAGGAGACAAATCTTTCTCATGTGGAATGATGTGACTCTGTGAAACAGAATTCTGTGGTGGTGCTGATGGGCTTTCTAGGATACACTATTTACCAAAATCTTGGGAGAAAATGATTGAGAAAACATACCTGGATCAGCTGCGGTGAAGGGAACACCATCGGATGTATAAAATGTTGGTTCATTCTAGGATGAATCAAAGTGATTATACACTTCTACTCATTATAGAATCTCTTAAAGTACATGGATTAATAAATCATAGCTAATATCACATATCTACTCCTGACAATGCAAGAATATGACAAAACAAACCAAACCTGAGACACAAAAGGACATTTCTTAGCAGCCATTTTCACTTTCCCAGAAAAGTCTATGGTTTCACATTTTTCCTCTATCATCTCAAGTCCTTGTGACTCTAATCTTGCTACTTATTGTCTGTGATATTTACTACCAATTGTTCTATTGTGCATTGTTTCAGGCTTGGTTAGCTTATTTTCAGGTATGATTTTCTTTCCATCTTCCATTTCTTTACTGATTCCCAAGACCAGGTTCTAGGGGCACTCTTCCACAGCCATTCACACTGGGTCATGTCAGCAGACTGAGGGCATCCCTGATTGTTTTTATGTTATTTTACTTTAATATTTAACACAATATGGACCAGTCTAAGATGCAGATCTCTGGTTCTAACAGCTTCCTGGCATCCTTTTCAGCCTCCCTTGTCGTTGATGGATCTTTTAGTCTGTCCCTTTCTCTCCCTAGAATTTAATTTGCTTCCATTTATGTGCTAGGTTGGAAGGTAGGTGATCCTAAGTCAAACAGGAATAACTGCATAAAACTTATTGAAATTCCAAAACAGAACCAACTATGACTACAAACATACCATGAAGTAGTTAGGATCATTCTCAGGTGTTGCTTCTCTGTAGGTTGAAGTTGCATGGACTCTACCCCAGTTACTCGACCGGAGCTCCACCAGCTTCAGGAGCATCTGCTTTACGTCTCTGCGACAAGAGCCGAAAATGAGCTAAAGTATACTCACTGTAAGTGTGGCAGGCTTTCAAATATCACAGATGCCTAAAACCTTATTCACTAAATTTAACAGATACTACCAATGCTTTTTCTGAACTTTTCCCATGACATAAATTCACTTCAAAACAAAATCAGGTCTTGAAATTTGCTCCATAACTGTGACTACATGGTTTTTAAAGATAGTGCCTATCCTTTCATTTTTCTCTTCTGTAATACTTCTGGTAGTACTTTACCGAAATATTTTTTGAAAGGCTGAAGTCTGCATCTTTATTTTTCACTAAATTCAAATCATTCCACAGGAAAAAATTCTAAATGAAATTGAACAAAAGTGGCTATTGAGCAGAAATCATAGGTAAAATATTATACCGTTAAAAAAATTTTATCAATCTGCAAGATATCAATTACAATTGTCAAGTACAGAATAGAAAACCACCGCCACACAGGAAGCAAGAGAAGGAGTACTGCCCACCCACACTGTCCCACCTGCTGCAGTTGGCATCGAGGACAACGTTTTCAATTCTCTGAATAATTTCTTCCATATCAGTCTTGGCTTTTTCCTTCCAGGCATCTTCCAAAACGGATCCTGTCAACTAAAATGTAGGCATTTGTAAAATACAGTATAGAAATTCTCAGAAGTAAAATATTAGAGGCAGTTCAATTATTCTTGTGGATTAATTCGATATGTCAGATATTCAACTCTCTGCTCATCATTTAGTCAGATGCCCAATTTTTTTTTGGCTACCTAAATTTTTAAACTAATATTTAACAGATTCAGTGATTTCTAGAATTACTTTTTTATTGATGAAGGGAAACTACAGTGGAACTCTAATCGTGGCTAATGTACACAACCTTTTAGCTTCATTTTCTCAAAAATTTTTGAAGGCATTTATATTCCCTAAATGACTAAGGCTGGCTATTACATTTTAATAATATTGTTTGAAATAAGCAGCAAGTTACAAAAATAGAAAAATCTAAACAAAAAAAGGAAAATCTGCTTCAAGAAGTTAAGGATATAAATAGACAATTCATAAAATTAGTAAATGGCCAATAAACATGAAGAAATGATTAAATTAGTGATCATAAAATGCAAATTTACACTCAGGATCTATGCCAAAACAAAACCCATAACTGATTAAATCCACATACTTCACCATTGGTACGATACACTCTGGTCTGACACTTGGGACTAGTGCACCTCGTTACTTATCACTATAAAAGTGTACAAGAGGGCCCAAGCGATAGCGTAATGGTTAAGGTCCTCACCTTGAACATGCCAGGATCCCATATGGACACCGGTTCTAATCCCGGCAGCTCCACTTCCAATCCAGCTCCCTGTTTGTGGCCTGGGAAAAGCTGTCAAGGATGGCCCAAAGCCTGGGAACCTGCACCCGCATGGGATACCTGGAAGGAAGTTCCTGGATCCTGGATTGGGATCGGCACAGCACCAGCCGTTGCGGCCACCTCTCAGTATATCTGCCTTTCCAATAAAATAAATATATCTTTAAAAAGTATACAAGATTCCTGATTCCTCAAATCTATCTTTTAGAATCTAACCTGAAGAAATATCTGCATTAGAAAGATTAAAGATTACTAGGGGATAGCACAATAGCTCAACTAGTTAATCCTCCACTTGCAAGCACTCATATGGGTATAGGTTCATGTTCTGACTGCTCCACTCTCCGTCCAGCTCTCTGCTTCTGGCCTGGGAAAGTAGCAGAGGGTGGACCAAAGCCTTAGGACCTTGTACCCATGTGGAAGACCTGGAGGAGGCTCCTGGCTCCTGATTGGCTCAGCTCCAGCCACTGCAGCCATTTGGTGAGTGAACCAGCAGATGGGAGATCTTTGTCTCAAAATCTGCCTTTGTAATAAAGAAAAAAAAAGGATGAAAGAGTAGTAGCATTGTAATTCAGTAGCAAAACTGCAAACATTCAAATGAAAAAATGACAAATTGCACACAATGGGGTACTAAAAAGTTACTCAACAAAGTGGTTATCTGTGTTCCATGGAAAGATTTAAGAAATTTTATCAAGTGACAAATAAAAAGGCCACAACTAAATAAGACCTTATAAATGGAGTTCACACTCAGACACAAGGAGGGAATCACGGGGAGTTTACAGAGGTTGATGGACGAAGGACTTTCACTTTCTCATTTCCAAATTTTGTTTCTTAGAGTATATGAGAGGACTTCAAAATGATAATGGAGAAATTAAAAGATGTCTAATTTATTGGTTTTTAAAAGATTTATTTTTATTGGAAAGGTCAGATATACAGAGAAGGAGAGACAGAGAGGAAGATCTTCATCTGATGGTTCACTCCCCAAGTGACCGCAACAGCCAGAGCTGAGCCAATCTGAAGCCAGGAGTAAGGAACTTCTTGTAGGTCTCCCAAGCGGGTGCAGGGTCCCAAGGCTTTGGGTCGTCTTCAGCTGCTTTCCCAAGCCACAGGCAGGGAGCTGGATGGGATGCAGGGCCACCGGGATCAGAACCGGTGACCATATGGGATCCTGGAGCATGCAAGGTGAGGACTTTAACGACTATGCTATCGTGCCAGGCCCTAATTTATTATTTTTTAAAATGGTTTATTTTTAAATTTATTTTATTTTTATTGGAAAGGCAGATATACAGAGAGGAGGAGAGACAGAGAGGAATATCTTCCATCTGTTGTTTCACTCCCCAAGTGACTGCAATGGCCAGTGCTGTGCTGATCCAAAGCCAGGAGCCAGGGACTTCCTCCAGGTCTCCCACATGGGTGCAGGGTCCTAGGGCTTTGGGCTGCCCTTGACTCCTTTCCCAGGCCACAGGCAGGGAGCTGGATGGGAAGCAGGGCTGCCAGGATTAGAACTGGCGCCCATATAGGATCCTGGGGCATTCAAGGCAAGGACTTTAGCCGCTAGGCCACTACTCCGGGCCCAAGATGTCTAATTTAGTATCAGAAGTCTCCAGATGTAGGTTTCAAAAGTTCAAGGAAAATGTGTACTATAGAAAAATTATGTGAAGATTTAAAAAAAAAACACACACTCATCTTTTAACAGTAGTTTCCCACTATTTTTTGAAGGACCCTTGCATATTTCTTTTGTTAAAAAACCAAGTTAAAACATCAGTATTTAACTTTAAAGTAGAAATCTAGTTATGTACTACAGTTTTCCTACAAATTATAAATTAAATGAATAAAAGATTTATTTAAATGCCTACCTTCAGTAATTTCACTGCACAGATTAAGTTATCATCCACAGGATTAGAAAAAAGCGCATTCAGCAACTCTCGAAGACCCACTTGAAGAATATCTGCTCTCATAACCTGTCCATTTGTTCCCTTGATCTTTTAGGACAAAAGAATACAAGTGATGATGTTAAAATATAATGCATATAATTAAATGCTAAGAAACTATTGGTAAAAGTAGTTACTTTAGGTCAACAAGAGACAAGTCACAGCAGCACATATTGGTACCTTCACCGAATCACAATTGCTTTATATGTAATTAACTCTAATAAAGCTACTCAGCTATAAGTAAAATCTTATTTTCATTTTTCACATACAATTGCCAGGGGAAAAAAAAATTTAAAGATTTTTATTGGAATGTTAGATATACAGAGAGGAGGAGAGACAGAGAGGAAGATCTTCTGTTCGATGATTCACTCTCCAAGTGGCTGCAACAGCTGGCCAGGAAAATTTCAGTTCATCTGATGTCACCATTTCAGAAAGCATTCTCTGACCATACAACACTGACACAGAGGTATCTTCCACCTGTTGGTTCATCCCCACCTGGAGCTAACTGTTGGGCTAGGCCAGGCCTGAAACCTGGAACTCAATCAAGGTCTCCCATGTGGGTGGCAGGGTTGCTAGCACTGAGCCACCTCCACTGCTTCCCAGGCACACCAGTGAGGAACTGGAGAACTACACCGCCTTTACGTTCTCACAGACATGGCTTATTACTTCCATATGGGAAATACTCAGAGGAGCATTCTTAGAATGATTTCATGAAAGGTACATAGTAGATCAGCACTCTTATTTTGACTTACATAGTCTGAAAAAGAATAAGATATGCATTTTATGGTGGAGTCTTTTGTCTTGATGTATACATTATGCTGTTTTTGACAAATTCTCGAAGTTTAAGAAGCTATAAACTGAGGGTTGTCATTTAGTACAGCCATTAAGTCAGTACTGGGGGGTGAGGAGGCTGCCATTGTGGAATAGCAATTTAAGCCTTCACCGGTGATACAGGGATCTCATATAAGCACTGGTTTGAGACCTGGTTGCTCCATTTCCAATCCAGCTCCCTGAAGGCCTGGGAAAGCAGAACCACCCCTACCCCCGCCACATGGGAGACTCAGAAGCAATTCTGGACACCTGGTTTTGGCCTGGCCTCAGAATTGCAACCATTTGGGGAGTGAACCAGTGGATGGAAGATGTGGTCTCTCCTCTCTGCAACCCTGCCTTTCAAAACTAAAAATTAACTGTGAAAGACCCTGCTGGGGTATTCACATCCCATGCCAGAATGCCTAGGCTGAGTCAGGCTCTCTAGCCTCCAATCCAACATCCTGCTAATGTGCCTCTTGGGATGCAGAAGGTGATGGCTCCAGGACTTGGGACCCAGCCACCCACACGGGACACGGGAGACCCAGACTAAATTCAGGCTTTTGGCTTTGGCCTGGCAAGTTCCAGCTGTTGCAGACATCTGGAGTGAATCCAGCAGGTGTCCTCTGTCGCTCAAATAAAACTGAAGTTGTCTTAAAGCATGTATTTTATAAAAAGTACATGATTCACTAAAAACCCAAGTAAACCCATTGCACACTAATGTTCAGGTATATTACGTAGACATATTTAGCTAAGGCTACACAAATGAATTTTGTGACATGTGTATTTATATGGACAAGTAAGGACTATTAGGGGCTGAGAATTAGAGATTCTTCTTTCATTTAGGAATAGCAAATCCAAGAGATTATACTTTAGTTATTTTTAATAATACAGTATATAGTTGAAAATTACAAACAGATGATTGTTTCTTTCAAATATTTATTAAAAAGCTGAGTTAGAGAGAGGGAGAGAGAGAGCAAAGATAATCCATCTTCCATTCACTCTAAATGGCTCCAAGAGCTGGGACTGCACAAGGCCAAAGCCAAAATTTTCATCTTGGTCTCCCATGGAGAGGCAGAGGCCAACTCTTCTTGGCCTATCTTTGCTGCTTTTCCAGGTGCTATAACAGGCAGATAGATGGGAAGTGAAACAGCTGGGATTTGAACCAGCATCCACGAGATGTTGGAGTAGCATTCAGCCACTTAACCTACTATACTACAACACTGGCTCCAAAATGTAGATTTGAAATGTATAATGTTCTTATCACAAAAGAAATTCTACCTGTCAACTTAAAAAAAAAAAAAAAAGAAAGAAAAAGTTAAGCAATTAAAGGTGAGGGGCCAATGCTGTGGCACAGCACTTTAAACCATTGCTTGCAACATCAGCATCCTATACAGGTGCAGTTTCAAGTTCCAGCTGCTCCACTTTGAAGCCAGCTCTCTGATAAAGTACTTGGACCCCTTGCCACTTATGTGCAGAAACCAGGATGAAGTTCCTGGGTCCTAATTTTGGCCTGACATAGGCCCAGCAGTTGGGGCAATTTAGAGAGTGAATCAGCAGAGGCAAATCTCTTGCAAAATAAGTAAATCTTAAAAACAAAAAAAGGCGGGGGGCCCTAGGTGAAATCGCAGCGAAGAGTCGGAAACCTCTGGCCTCTGCATGTACAAGCTCAGGGCAAAATGCCATAGAACTTCTATTAAAGTACTGATTGTGAGGAGGTGCTGAGCCATTTTCTTTTTTTCCCACTCCCCTTTTTGTTAAAGTTAAAAAAAACCAGCATTCTCACCTCCAGGTTAAGGAAGAGTTCTCCGAGGAAGAGGACAAATGCATGAAACCGTTTCCGAGTCACTTCATCCCCTTTCGCAGCTTGATCTTTCACTTCATACTCAGTCCGACACCTAATAAAGACAACTTTTGTGATCTTACATTGCTTTGTTTTTCTTAAAAAGCTAAACAATACGGCCATTTGTTGGTTTGGCTGTCCACAGCAACAGACAGTAACCACAACGTCCCACTGCCCTGACCCTCTATTTCCAAAGGAAAGAGCTCTCAGTCCAAAGCTGTGCTCATTAACCTTTCCCAAGAAGGCGCTCTGTTTTAAGAAGCTGATAGGAATACTTAGTTCATCTTACATTGTAACTTACAGCTTGTGAATATTTTTTACCTTTTTGGATGTTAAGAACTTTGCAAGATCTTTAAAAATATATAGAAATGCATGGGCTCCAACAACGTTGAAAAGAAAATGAATTTTTAAGTCCACCATTCTTATAATTTCTATTATATCAGAAAAGCATTACAGTGAAGAAAATCTCCCAATTGGAACCACAACACAGAAAGCTGCTAAGTTGGTTTCACTTCCTCAGCATCTGAATGCGTCAACTGATTTCCGCCCCTCCTCTTATTTTCCTCTGAATTGGCCCAATGCCTCAGAGAAAAATCCCAGAGCTCATGATCAGGGCTGCACAAGATACCTAAACTAACCACAGTAGGTTTCCACTGTTGGTCAAAAGCAAATTAGTATCAGCATCTATTATACTGAGATGGATTTATAAAAACTTATAATTTGGGTTTTAAGTACTATTTAATTTTATTGGTAATGTGATGAGAAAATGCTACAAAATTCATTTGTTCTCTAAAGCTTTTTTTTTTTTTTAACAGTTCTTAAAGACAAAGAGGAGAGCTTATGGAGCATGCATGGATTTCAAATTGCCTGTTAAGTGTTATTTAAAACAAAAAACAAAAAAACAGGGCTCAGCAGCTAATGTTCTTGCTATTTGGGCACCGGTTCTAATAATCCCTGTTGCCCCACTTCCCATCATCTCCCCGTATGTAGCCTGAGAAAGCAGTGAGGATGGTCAAAAGCCTTGGGACTCTGCACCCACCCACGTGGGAGAACTTCAAGAAGCTCCTGGCTCCTGGCTTTGGATTGGCTCAGTTCCGACTGTTATGGCTACTTGGGGAGTGAATCAGCAGATGGAAAATCTTCCCCTCTGTCTCTTCTCCTCTCTGTGTATCTGACTTTTCAAAAATAAATAAATCTTTAAAAAATAAATTCTTGCCCAATAATTTATCCTGGGAAAGTTTGGGAGCCAACAATAACCCCAGCATAGCTTCCTGTGCCTGCATACCAGCTCCAATGTTAGCAGCTCTACTTACTGAGCACTACCTTCTGTTTGTGTTTTAGGCACTTGTTGCTTTCTCATTAACTCCTCATCAGGAAAACAGCAGGAAGCAGATATTTGTAAATGGTACACTGTGGTTAATAATGAAAAAGAGCAGTTAATTAATGCCAACTCAGCCATATTCTCACCTTGTTGGCTGCTTTCCTGTTAAAATGCTGGAACTTCAAGTTTTTAAGAAACTTGTTTTTTTCCATAAATGCTATGAATACAAGGGTACTTGAAAAAGTTCATGGAAAATTAAAGTTTAATCTTAACCATGTGTATGAGCAGTCTTCAAAAAAAGTGTGTAGAAGGCCCATTACGATGGCTCAATGGCTAATCTTCACCTTGCTTACAATGTGATCCCATATGGGTGCCCGTTTGTGTCCTGACTGCTCTACATCCCTTCCAGCTGCCTGCTGGTGACCTGGGAAAGCAATGGAGGATGGCCCAAAGCTTTGGGACCTTGCACCTGCCCAAGAGACCTGCAAGAAGCTCCTGGCCCCTGGCTTCAAATCAGCTCAGCTCCAGCCACTGCGGCCATTTGGGGAATGAACCAACAGATGGAAGATCTTTCTGTCTCTCTGTAAACCTGATCTGCCTTTCCAATAAAAAATAATTAAAAAAGAAAAGTCTGTAGAGGGGCAGGTGTTGTGATATGATGGGTAAAGCCAGTAGGCATCCCTTTTGGGTGCCGGCTTGAAACCCACGGCTGCTCCATTTCCATTCCAGTCCCTGGGTAACGGCCTGAGAGAAGCAGCTGAAGTATTTGTCCTTTGCCCCCCACATGGGAGACTTGAATGAAGTGCCTGGCTTTGGCCTCGCCCAGCCCTGGCCTTTGTAGCCATCTGGGAAATGAAACAGTGAGTGAATGAAGAGCTCGGCCTATCCCTCTATGTGTGTAACACTGACTTTCAAAATAAATCTAAAAAAAAAAAAAAAAATTCATGGAAATCTAGACTTAAAAAAAAATACTATATGGATTTCAAGTTTATTTTGATGCAAAAATATCATTTAGCCCATTTTCCAAAAACTTTGAGATACCTTCACATTGGTTTTTATGAGACAGTAATTACATACCTGCAAAAGTAAATCCCTACCCCTCTATATGGCTACAACCTGTGTGAAGACCCTAACCCTTTTGAAGCTAAAAGCCTTTAAAGTTTAAAACAGAAAAGTCTAAAAAACAAAGTCATCCCTAACACTACTTTAGCCATAGCTAAGTGCTTAAAAGATAACTTCCATTGTCTTTTTTTCAATTTCAAAGAGGCAGAATGATGTGTTTACTTGTTATAACATGACCATTTTTCTACATTAACATTCTTAACAGCATTAGAGTGCCACAGAAGCTTACACTGGGAGAATGAGAAAAGCTATTCTCAACCCCGGCTACACAGCAGCATCACTTAGAGGGTCTCAGGAAACCATCCCCAGGCTTCCCTATGATCCAATTACACCCGAATTTCCAGGGACTGGACCAGATGTGAGTCCTATTTTAAATATCTGAATAAGCAGAAGGCATCACCAGGGTAAGTAGTGGTAAACAGAGTTAAGGGAGCATTTCAGGCATCCTATCTCCTAGAAAGTCATTCTTTCCTATCTTTCAGGAGCTGTAGTGTGTGTTATAATTATACATCAGGTTTGCTATTTATGTTTTTCCAAACTGTATCTATTCAGAGCCATTCCAAGGATTTCCATAAGACAGGAGTCTTACTCCTAAGAGGCCCCTTTTTCATGTAAAGCAAAAGAGCTCATTGTCATGTGTTATAAATTTCTTTTATTTCACTTCATATAACTTACACCTTCCTCTCCTAAGTTATAATCTTTAGTTACATAAATTCATTTCTCCGAGTTTGGGACCTCTTGGTATCTTATCTTCCTTCAGGGGATTTTACCTAAGAAAAATTTTTGTTTAATTTTCAACTTCCTTCTTAACATCTGCTGCTTCAGTTTAGGGGTCTGCCATGTTTGGAATTTATTCTGGTATAAGCACTGGGACAGAAACACTTGTTTGTTCCCGTAAAGTGGCTATCCAGTTGTGCTATCACACTTATCTTTTGCATGTGTGTTTCAAGTACCATACGCATCAAAAGCTTCATTTTTAAGTGTCTTCATTTATAATCTTAATTCTATTCCACTAGTTTAACCATACAACGGATCACAAGTAAGGAAAATATCCTTAAGAAAAGTAATAGAGAAACTTTCAAAATTGAAAATAACTTTTTTGCCTAAATTAGATTATAACCATCATCTCTCAAATATCTATCAAATAAAGAAGGTCCTGGGATTTCACTCATTGTAAAGTTCATTGGTAAAAACAAGTCCAGCGGAGACACTTTCATGAAAAACCAAAAACAAAAACACCCTCCCAAAAAAAGATTAGTTATTTCTAATATTAGAGTTTCTGTATAGCAATTATGACAAATTATGATAAAAGGAACAGAATGAGTGATAAGTGGAATATAAAGTCCAGAATCAAACTGCAAATATAAAAATGCAACATGATAAAATGTAGTTCAAACCACTAAGAATAAATTCACTTTTATTCTTACCTAAATCAGATCCTCAGAAATATTAAGTGACCATTTTTAAGATCTTAAAAAATGAAAGACTCTTCTAATCACAAAACCAAATGTAGAGACTATTAAGTAAAAAATATTGACAAATCTAACTTAAAAATTTTAGGACTGTGCAAATAAAAATGATGTACTCTATTTTCCCTTATAACTTTCTGTAACAGATAGTCTTTAAGAAAAAGGAATGGTCAAATTCTAGTACGTTTAGGAATAGATTTCCTTTAATTTTCATATTCACACTGACCTTTGAAGTAGCAATTGACGAAAGTTGCCACTCTGTGGGCTAATTGTCAGATGATGGGACAAGTAATTACACAGGCGAGCTCCCATGTAAGAGAAATTGGGGATAGACGTAGCCTTGTGGAAAGAAAAGTTTTGTATGACACAGATATCATTAATGCAAACACTTAGCAACGTTCTAAAGAAAAACATTCTGGCTTACAAAACTGATCATGTTGTACAGAGAAATGTACAAGTCTAATTAATAAGCATAAGAAAATGTATGCCCACTTTCCCTCCCAACATTTGTACTTTCTCACTTTCAATTTTGAGCTAAAATGATTTTAATCTCTATACTCCATGAGATTTTTCAGTTTAGATGTTCCTAACTAGATCTCCAATATGGAAAATGAGTTTTTAGCTTTCACCCTGCTTAACCTACCCCACTGTATTATTTCCAACCTCTTCCATCTCATAATATTATTTTACTGTGATTTTTTTCAGTTGTATTTCCATTTGCAACCAAATATTACATTATTTCCCTTTTCTGTATAACTATGCAACTTCAAAACTTATTTTTCCTCCTTTGCTTTTACATGCTTCTGATTTATTCTTAAACTCACCAGGTTGTTAATTTCTTCCTAGTGCATTCAAACACAGCATATGTCATCATCTTACCTTGCCTGGCGCCTCTGACCTATGCCAGCGGAACTGGCTGCTTTAGACCTTCTGTGAGGGTTGCTATCGTCTTGGAATCTCTCACCATAATCTACATGGTTCACTTGGCCTCTCCTGTAGAAATTTCATTTCCCTGGTTCCCATGCTTTTGCCTGTGGTTCAAGTCCCCTTGCTAGTAATACAATTCCTTTGCTAATTTCCCAAGAAGTTCTGAGTAGTCATTTAATGCAGAAACAATCCCCAAGACTCTCAGATTCTCTACCAATTTTTTTCACCTCATTCCAGCCCTGCTCTACAGAGGCAATTCTCTGCTCTTGCTGCAGCCAATATGGGGTCTGCCAAGACAGTTAGCACTCAGCCACTTGTGTTCCAGTCTGCAAAATGAAAGCTCTCCTTCCTTCCTTCCTTCCTTCCTCATGCACCTCTAATCCCAAAACTGTCATTGTCAGTGGGCCTGGGGGGAGGAAACAAAGTTGAAGGTGTCCAGATTAACCCATCATCTGTTAAAGCTAGGAATAATCATCTGTTAGTTGCTAGGAATAAATTTCCATTTTATTTACCTTAATGAAGTCTAAAAGCTATCAGTGAATCTGTATCTGGTCAATGTATTATTGACTAAAGGATGTTAAACCTTAAACAATACAGATGGCATCCTGAAGAACTGGCTAAGAAAAACCATAGAACTGTATTATCAGGTTAAAAACCCAACCCTAATTAAGATTATTAAAAAGATAAATAAATGAAAACCCAACTCTAAAGAACAATAATCATGCAGGCTGTTAAACAGTTGAAACTAAATAGAGAAACAAGAAAAAAAAAGTATATTCCTCCACTTATTTCTTAAATCCAATTAAAAAATATAAGAAATCAGAGTAGAACAGTTCTATCTTTGGAAAATCTCAAGCACTTCCTAAAATCTGAAGAGTTGGCTAGATAAGCCTGAGGTTCAACAGTGTAGAGCAACCTAGAAAAGTGTCCAAAAGACACTTGCTATTGTACTCATCTATTCATATATTCTATTCTTTAAAAAGTTATTTATTTGAAAGAGTTGCATAGAGAAAGGGGGAAAGATAGCAAAGAGCCAGCTGGTTTACCCCACAGAAGGCCTCAATGCGCAGGCCCGCACAGGCCAAAGTCAGGAGCTTCAGCTGTGCTACCTGCATGAACAGCAGTGACCAAGTACTGACTTAGCTCATCTTCCACTGCCTTCCTAAGTTATTAGCAGAAAGCTGGGTTGGAAGTAGAGGAGCCAAGGGCTCGAACCGGTACCCAAAAGGGACACTGGCACCACAGGTGGCAGCTTTGCCTACTGCGCTACAATGCCAACCCCTATTCATATTCCAAATTTGAATTACTCTTTTAGTAATGATTTAAAGGACAATAAAGTTGGCGGCTAGCGCTTTAGCATAGAAAGTTGAGCCATTGCCTGCAGTGCCAGCACTACCCATGAGGGTGTCAGTTTGAGCCATGGCTGCTCTGCTCACCATTCACCTTCTTGCTACTACGCCTGAGAAAGCAGGGGAGGATGGCGCAAGTGGCCTGGCCTCTGCACCCACATGGGAAAACTGGAACAAACTCCTGGCTTCACCCTAGCCCCTTCAGGCTGCTGCAGCTATCTGGGGAGTGAAGCAATGAATGAAAAGCCTGTCTCTTCCTCTCTCACCCAACTCTTTCAAATAAGATAAATCTTAAAAACAAAAACCCCAGGGGCTGCTGCAGTGACACAGCAAGCTAATCCTCCACCTGTGGCACCAGCATCTCACATGGGCTCTGGTTTGCTCCAGCTGATCCACTTCAGGTCCAGGTCCCTGTCTGTGGCCTGGGAAAACCGTGAAGGATGGCTCCAGTCTATCACTGAACCCACGCGGGAGACCCAGGGGAGCTCCTGGCTTTAGATCAGCTGAGCTCTGGCTTCTGCAGCCATGTGGGGAGTGAGCCAGCAAATGGAGGGCCTCTCTCCGCTGACTTTGCATTTCAAATAAAAATGAATTTTTTTAAAAAAAAAAAAAACTTTTTGTTCCTCTCCTACTTTAAGTTTGCCTTCCAAATAAAAATAAGCCTTCAAAAAAAAAAAAAAAAACTGTCTTGGGCACAGGCAGCTAGCCCAACATTGTCAGCCACCTGCCCTAGTGGAGTGCTTGAGGGTGACCCCCAGCTGCAGTTCCTGATTCCAGCATCCTGCCAAAGCAGATTGGGGAAAGGCAGTGGCAACAGCTCCGGCGGCACCAGGCACCTAAGCAGGAGACCCAGCTAGCTTTCCTGGTTCCTGGCCTTGGTCCCAGTCCAGCCCTAGCCACTGTGGAAATTTTGGGGAATTCCAACTTTCTCTGTCTCTTTGCTTCTCAAAACTTTTTCCTCAAAAAGTCCGTCTTAGGGCACAGCATGGTGGCCTAGCAGCTGAAGTCCTTGCCTTGTACGTGCCAGGATCCCATATGTGCACCGATTCTAATCCCGGCTGCTCCACTTTCCATTCTTCTCTCTACTTTGGCTTGGGAAAGCACTCGAGGATAGTCCAAAACCTCAGGATCTTGCACCCTTGTGGGAGACCCGGAAGAGGCTCCGGGCTCCTGGCTTCAGATCAGCTTAGCTCTGGCCTTTGCAACTGTTCAGGGGGTAAATCAACGGACAGAAACTCTTCCTCTGTGTTTCCCTTCCTCTATGTATATCTGACTTTGCAACAACAACAACAAAAGGTCTGTCTTAAGATGCCAGTGTTGTATATTATGTTTTTCAATGCTTAATATGCTGGGATCAAAACCAAAAGTGTGAAAAACTGCTATTAAACTTCAAAGGCATTAAAATATAAAATCATAAATTTGGGGGCCAGACACCATAGCATAGCAGGCTAAGCCTCTGGTTTTGGTTCTGGCATGTACTCCAACCATTGTGGCCATCTGGGGAGTGAACCAGTGGATGCAAACTCTATCCTTCTCTATAGCTCTTCCTTTCCAATGAAAAATAAATTAAAAAAAAATAAAAACAAATACCCCTTTCATCCTAAATGAAATAAAAAAATGTGAAGATTTAAGATACGATATTTTGTAGTATGACTTTTTTTTGTTGCAATACTTTTTAAAAGATTCATTTATGATGGAAAAAGTTTGCTGCTTTTTGTTTTCTCAACCACTACAATGTCACATAATTTAAGGCAGGAAGACAAAATTGCAACCTTTCCTGTATATTGTTCATTTCAGGTCCTACAAAACAGAGAGAAGGGGAAAAGTGATGAGACAGTCTTCGTTATAACACCTCAGATTTCCTTCTGTACTTTACTGCCCGCGTAGGGCCATGGTTCACAGATAAATGTGCTGTCTAGCCCAGCTCTAGCTTCAATCCTTCACTACAGCAATCTAATACAAAGCAGACCTAAAAGTATGAGCCAGAAAGAGTTATTAATGATGGAGACAGATGAAGATGAGGTCTCCCAAGGACTAACCACTATACAGAGAGTGTGAGACTCTCAGCCAACCTACCTGTTGATAGATGAGTTCGACAAGTTCTTGCAAAGCATCATCTGTTGTGACCCAACCATTCAGGGTCTCTGCAAACTGTTCAATTTCAGTTTCAAAACTGCCAGGCTGTTCTGTGAGATGATTCAAAAAGTCCTGAACATATTCTGATAGAGTGGGATATTCCTCACACCCATCCTCATAGGATTCCTATAGATTAAAAAAAAAAAGTTATTCCATGCATTTGGTCAAAAGCAGCAGCCCAACGTAAATTCTCAACTGGCATTTCTAGTACAGTTTTATGCTAAAGCTCAGCAATGTTCTTAACAGAATGAGGTACACTGAAGTATCTTTCTTCTTTGCATAACAATTTGATGTATTTTAACAACTCCAGTTATCTGGATGGAATGGTCTCTTCTCACTAATAATTTACAAGATTAAAGTAAAAGTTAAAATTCATTTCAACACAATACTAATGTCAACATTAAGAATATTACTGGGGCCCAGTGCGGTAGCTGAGCGACTAAAGTCCTCGCCTTGCATGCACCAGGATCCCATGAGTGCTAGTTCATATTCCAGCTGCTCTACTTCCCATCCAGCTCCGTGCTTGTGGCCTGATAAAGCTGTCGAGGACAGCCCAATGCCTTGGCACACTGCACCTGCATGGCAGACCTGGAAGAAGCTCCTGGCTTCAGATAGACTTAGCTCTAGCCGCTACAGCTACTTCGGGAGTGAACCAGTGGATGGAAAATTTTTTTTCTGTCTCTCCTCCCTGTAAATCTGATTTTCCAATAAAAATAAATCTTAAAAACAAAAACAAAAAAAGAAATATTGCTGAAGCCAGTTCTGTGGCACAGCAAATTAAGTGGCATCCAGGAGTGCCAGCACCTTATATGGGCACCCATTAGAGTCCCAGCTGCTCCATTTGCAATCCAGCTCCCTGCTAATGGGCTGGGAAAAGCAACAGAAGAGTGGCCCAAGTCCTGAGCGCTTGGCATCATGCGGACAAGCTAGCAGCACCAGCCCTCTGGGGAGTGAACCAGCAGATGGCAGATCTCTTAAACTCAGTTTCTCCTCTCTTTAATTCTGCCTTTGAAATAAATTTTAGAAACTTAAATGTTGGGGTTCAATGAATCCGAGCGAGACTCCAAGGCAAGTGAGATGATTTTATTGTTTAGTCCAAGGAGCAACCTCTTGCCATAAGCAAGAAGCGCCCTGAATGAAATAATCGTGGCATTTTCATAGTAAAAGAATCAAAAAGCTACATGACAGCGAGCAAGTACATGATTAGGGGCTAGCAGTGACACGAAACAGAAAGCATGCGACAGGAATTTACAACGTACAGGCTTGGGGGCCCTGATCATATCACTTTAACGCAGACAGTAATAAAAGAGCATGCCTCGAAGGGAGCTGTCATTCCGGCAAATCCAAAAACTCCCAGATTCTCCCTTATCTCCTGCCTGCCTCCAGGTCTTTCAGGAAACAGGAGCTTGGCTCGTAACAGGAGGCAGGCATCTCTGGAGATTCCAGACTCCCAGGAGTAGTCACCTTTACAATTAGCCCTTTCACTTAAATTACTAAAAAGAAAAAACAATATTATCAAGAATGAAATAAAATCTGGAATTTGCTTCAGATTGGAAAAGGATGTATAGAACAGGGAGGGATACAGAAACAAAATGGGCCTATGTCACTTATTATTGAGGCCTTAAGTCTCATTTTATCATTTTCTACAGAGATGTTTGACAGTTTCTATATGGAAAAATTCCAGTAAGGCTTGTCATCTGTTAATTCCCAATGACAGAGAAATGCATGTAGCCACTCGAACAATAAATGTCACCACCGTATAAATCGCAGGAGATTCTTCCTCCTGTCAAAGGCTTCTAAACACTGACAGGAGTGACACCGACAGTGGCTAACGTTTCCAGAACTGTCCAACTCTGTCACCGCTGTCAGGCCTTAACCTCTTCATTAAAGTTGGGAGGCTGAGCAAGATCATTCTGCAGAAGGTCCTTCACCACACTAGCAACCTTAGTACTCAATGTCCGGAACATCAAAGCATTTCTAGTTGATCGAACAATTATGTCCTAGGAGCAGCTATACTGCTTGATGAAAAGTTCCCTTCTCCAAATGGAGTCAAATGAGAAAACACATGAAAAAAACTGTGACAACAATACAGAAACATTTTAGAATGAGGCTAAGTTTCAAAGTTAGTGAATAAGGAAACAAAGCAAAAAAAAAAAATTATATATGGCCATATATGGCCAAAGCAACCCTTAGAAAAGCTGCAAGTCAGAGCTACATACAAAGCCTTTGTGTCTACTGACACACCTTGTCAGTGATTTTTTTTTTCTCTCTTTAAGGACTAAAATGAAAGGCTTTGGCTTGGCCCAGCAGTTGGGGTGCTTTTTGGATACACAGGTCTGTTGTTGGATGCCAGGGTTTGAATCCCAGCTCTAACCCCCGTTCCAGCTGAGATGTAAGCTGGGAGGAAGCAGATGATACCTAAAATTCTTGGCCCTGCCATGCATGTGGGAGAACGAGACAGAGCTCCAGGCTCTCAGCTGTGGCCTTGCCCCATCCTAAATGCTATGGGCATTTGGGGATTAACCCAGGGAATGGAAAGTTCTCTCTCTCTCTCTTTCTCTGCCTTTTAAATAAGAAATTCAAAAAATATATTTGAACGTATCAATAAACAGCTCGAAGATAGTATATTAAATGAAAGGAATACAGACCATATCTTAGAACTGTATATAATTTTTAAGAGATTTACTTGTACAGGTGGAGAAAATCACTGAACAAAGGGCAACAATACCTCTGGATAAAGAAATGTTCCTACTATAGATACTGATACTTTATTATAATCTTATGAAAGCCAAGACGCCTAACAAATGTACACATTGACATACCTGACGTCAAACATACACATATGAAGTTCAGTGTTTTATAGACATGTTGCAAGGACAATGAAAACAAAACCAGGAAAGCAGATCTGCAGGGTCTTAGCTAATGATTATACTTTTTTTTATCAAACATTACTCCATAAGAAATGTAGTCTAGTCTAGAGCACTAATTGCCAGTTTCCCACATTATGTTTTTTTGTTTTGTTTTGTTTTGTTTTGGTAAAATCAACAAAACTCAAAATCTGAAACTTGCTTAGCAAAGCATATGTTTCGTGGAACAGGAGCCGCAGCACATTCTGAACAGAAGAGCACTCTGGGATGTTGGATGTGAAGCCTGCTGTCCTGCTTCCTACCCAGCTGCCTCCTCATGGCCTGGGAGACCTTGGAGGATGGCCCAAGTGCTTGGGTCCTCCTGTACCCTTGTGGGAGCACCAGACGCTCCTGGCTTTGGACTGGCTCAGCTCTGGCCATTGCAGCCATTTGGGGAGTGAACCAGGGGATGTAAGATCTTTCCCTGTCTTCTCTCTAAAGTCTGTCTCTAAATGAAAATAAATCTTTAAAAAAAAAAAGGAAAATGAAATTCTATTTTACAATTCAAGCTGATTATGAGCTCCTCGTGAAGAGGTGAAATGGGAAACTCAGCCTGGAATTCCAAGAAAGAATCAACTTCAGGATTACTAGGACATGAGAAAGTTATGGGCCAATCCTAGGGGATCATTAGGAGATAATCAGATGGGAAATAGGGACTTGAGGGACTCCACTGTGAGTAGAAAGCAATGATGTGCAAGTTCCAGGGCAAGAAAACTCACAGAAGCTGAAGTGGAAGGTAAATGACGGACATGCACATGATGTGCATACAGTTGTAAGAAGTCTAGAAGAAAACGATGCTTGCAGTCTAGTGAGCAAAGATGATTATATGCAAGGCGGAAAGAAATCACAACAAACGACAAAGCTACAATACTTAGCTCTTATAAGAGAGAAGCCTTGGAAAGACTACAAAGGGTACTTACCCTAGCACAGGCCCTTGGAACATCTGAAACTTCTAAAATGTTGCTGCTGTGTTCAGACATGAGGGTTAAGCAGACAGCAATATGAAAATCAGAAGAGCAGCATTAACTTGCAATTGTAGTAGCGACACATGGAAGGGGATGAGACTGCAAAGGTCCGCACGGTCCAGAGAGAAAACAGCGCAAACAGTGAGAAGGTCACCGATCCCAAGACGGAAAAACTGACACTTAACTTGAAATGGCACGTTCTTAGAAAGAAAACTGGGTGTGGTCCAATAAATGTCTTATGAATTCCTTTGGAGAATTTTTGCTTCTGGTAAGTGAACTATGATTAAACATTGAAGGGGTAATGGTTTATTTAAGAGGCACAGACCAGAAATAGATGGATATGGAACTGACTGGTAAACAGCTATGGAAAACAGGAAATCATAGGATCAGGATTAGAAGGTCTGAAGATAAAGGGGATGCAGCTTTGAAAGAGTCAAAAAAGGAGCAAAATGTTACCCTTAAAAGCTGTCAGAAAAGGGTGGCATTCCTTGTGCAGACCTATCTCAAGGATACCAGAAAATTGATTTGCATGTGTTGAATAAGAGAAAAATGAGGGCAGAAATATAGCCTAGCCAAGACACCTGCATTCCACATCAGAATCCGTGAATACCCACTTCTCCCTCTGACTCCTGGCTCCCTGGAAAGCGTCAGTAATGCCTTTAGTTATTGTGTTTCTGCCCCATGTGGGAAACGCACCTGCCAGCTTCGGCACTGCTGCTTGGCGGAATGAACTGGGGGAAGGGACTCTGTGTCAAGCAGATTGTTTTTTTTTTAAATGTGATGTCATAATCTACTATGATATCAAACTACTGTGATGTAATAATCAGTTGTGAGGTCAAAAATATGCAGTTATAAATATACCAATGAGGCACAATAAATAAAGCATGGGATATTCATAAAAGGAAAAAAAAGCAAAACAAAGAATTTCTGGAAACTGAGCTGAGAAATGACTAGATTAGAGGTTCCATGCTGCATGTCCAGGGCTTTAATCAGGAGCGGTTGTCAACATTTACTGAATGCATGAGTGAGTGTATCCAACTCTGAATTACAGTTACTGAATAACCATAATCAAGAACTTACAACAGGTAAAAACAAGACTTCTGCTTTTGTCTAACTGGACTGAAAAAAACATTGGCCAAGGATAAACATTAAGATGAGCTAGTAAGTTTAGGCAATATACCAAAACTAGGGCTGCAAGTCTAAATGTTTACAGAATTCAGATGGGTTTCAAACGAAAGGAGGCAGGGATCAATTACAGCTCAAACAGTCCATCTAAAGGGAATGCCTGGGCTGGTCCACAATGCCACAGGCTAATCCTCCACCTTCAAGCACCAACATCCCATGTGGGTGCCAGTTCATGTCCCAGCTGCCCCACTTCCAATCTAGCTTCTTGCTTATGGCCTGGGAAAGCATTAACACATGGCCCAAGTTCTTGGGTTCCTGTATGTGGGAGGATCCAGAAGAGACTCCTGGCTCCTGGTTTCAGATCAACTCAGTTCCAGCCACTGCAGTCATTTAGGCAGTGAACCAGCAGATGGAAGATCTTTCTGTTCTCTTTGTAAATATGCCTTTGAAAAAAAATATATATATATATCTTACATATAAAAACACATTTAAAGGGAATGCCTCATTGGGAGTCCATCTTTTAGTCAGAAGAATCCCAATCAAACTGTTGAACATATCTTGAGAATAGCACACTAGGCTTTCTACCACTGTCTATATCTACAATGTTAGGATGCATTTAAATAGCAGGATGATGGACTTGTGACTGTTTTTGAAGGACTATATACATTGTAATAATAAAGGGAAGTCAGCTGGGGGAGGGGAAGTGGGAAGGGAAAATCCCTGAGCATACAGAACTGTATCAAACAAAATAGTTCAAATAAATAAAATAAAGCGAATACGGCTATTCAGCTCCAACCAGCTGCTTCTCCTCTATCAAAGTACCAGTCTATGACAGCCAAATCATACATGCTTAAGTCTGACAGAACTTGTGTTGGTGACGAATTAAAACCTAATTTTAAAATTATTTTTCAAAAACAGCTTTGCAAACACAGACATACACACACACAGAACCCATCACCAAGACTCAGCTGTGCCGAGTTCATAGACAGGTGTGGTGAGCAGAAGGTGCTGACCTACTGGGGGAAGGCAGAGCTTTCATCACAGCCCAGGATTCATTGCAAACACGGAAAAACAGCCAATTGGGAACTACGGGATGGGGACTGGCGGGGACACAGACACACAATGCTCACCACAGGACAACCAAGGCAACAGCAAGGAAGGTGGAGAGTTCCGTAGCTGCTACAAGACAAGCATCCTCCAGAGCTTACTCAACTACTCATAGCCTTCCAACGGCTCTTTACCTCCCAGAGCAAAATACCATATTGTGGCAAGAGTAAGTTGCTCTCATTTCTATTTTATAAGATAAATGGCCCATTTCACCCCATGTCAACCTCCTTTTCCTATTGCCTATACCTTTTCTTTTACAAGGAAAGTATGCATAGTTTCTTAGAGAGTACAGCTTTTCAAATTTGTCCTGTCAAATAAGAAAACATAAAGGTAACAAAAAAAAAAGATATGCTGAAAGTTGCTGTTGCAGCATAGCACACTAAACCTGTGCAGTGGGCATCTCATGTGGGCACCAGTTCAATTCTGGCTGCTCTACTTCTGATCCAGTTCCCTGCTACAGTGCCTGGGAAAGCAGTGGAAGATGGACCAAGTAATTGGGTCCCTGCACCTATGTGGGTGACTCAAAAGAAGTTCTGGCTTCCAGAAGGCCCAGTCCCAGCCCTTTGGGGAATGAACCCCCAGATAGAAGTCACCTCTTTCTCTCTGTCCCTGTAACTCTTTCATATAAAATATTTTTTAAGAAAAAGAAAAGCATAATAATTAGTTGCAAAACCACAACCAGATACAATAAACAGCGGTATGGCTGAACAGAAAAATACTAAGTGCTGATAAGCAAGTACACGAACTAGAAATCTGAAAATCAGATCCAAGAACACACAGTGGGACAATCTCTGAAAAAACATTTGGCAGTCTCTATCATGGCTGGGTACATTATATTGCAGCAACTTACTCCTTACCATGAACCAAACAGAAATGAAGGCTTCCATCTACCGAAAGCGACAGGAATAGCAGCCCTATGTGTGGAAGTGCTCCAGTGTTCACAGACAGGTGGACTGGGATACAGCCATGTGATGCAAGGCCATCAGAATAAACTGCCTCCAATTACACACTGGAGAGGTTAACTCTGACACTGAATGACAGACAATACATTTTGTGTGATTCTGTTCACATCAACTTTGAAAGCAGGCACAAGTTCAAAACAGGGTTACTCTAAGACAAGGTGATAGAGGGCTTTGAGGGGGTGTTAACATCATTTCCTCACTGACACTGGTTACCAGCATACTAACTTTGCAGAACACTGAGCTAACCCTAGGACTATCATTCTGTGTTACACTTTCCTAACACTAAGAGAGTATTATGAATCACCTCTTCAACCTGGAAGAAAAACTGCTCCCTCCACTTTTCCTTCAATCAACCCCCAAGTATTTACTCATCTAGGCTAACCTAGCACAGCACTCTTTTCTATACAGCCCAACTCAGCTTTACATTTTCTGTGCTTTAGAAAAATGTGCCTAATTTTTTTAAAAAAGGTTATATAATTTATATGAATGAAATTTTAAATTTAAGGATTTATTAATGTTATTTTTATTGCTAAGTCAGATAGGAGAAGAGGAAGATCTTCCATCTGATGATTCACTCCCCAAGTGGCTGCAATGGCTGGAGCTGCACCAATCCAAAGCTAGGATCCAGGAGCCTCTTCTTCCAGGCTTCCCACGCCGGTGCAGGGTCCCAAAGCTTTGGGTCACCCTCCACTGCCTTCCTAGGCCACAAGCAAAGAGCTGGATGGGAAGTGGGCCAGCAGGATTAGAACCAGCGCCCATATGGGATTCTGGCATGTTCAAAGCCAGGACTTTAGCCACTAGGCTACCATGCCAGGCCCTAAAGGTTCTTTTAATCTCTCTAAACATTTGTGAGAACTCCTTAAATCTCTGCATTTAGTAGTTAACTGCACCGGAAACATTTTTATTTTAATGTAATGAAGATAATTGTTAAAAGAGACACATGTGTATTCTCAAAATTCAAACAGGCACCAGAGGGGAGGGGCTGGGCACAGGTGTTAGGCTGCTGTTTGGGATGTCCACATCGCGTAGCACAATGCCTGGTTTGGGTTCCGGCTCTTTCTTTCCAATCCAGGTTTCTATCACATAGGATGCAGCAGGTGGAAGCACATGCATAGGTCCCTGCCACATGTGGGGGATTCAGACTCAGCTCATCCAACCCCAGCCTTACACACATTCGGGCAGAGAAGTGGTAGGTGAAATTGCATATTTTCATCTATTGGAGAGGCAGAAAGAAACAAACACTAAAAAAAAAAAAAAACTATTAGCTTGGTCTGGCGGACCCATGAAGTCTGGAAACAGCCGTTACTTTTAAAAACACAAGGTGTCCTTGTCAACATCGGATGCCCCAGCCTACAAGCACTCTAGGAGCTGGGGCACCGCAGGCCTCCAAGGACAAGCCTGCCTCGTCTCAAGCTGTATTCTGACACTACCTTCCAGAGTTGGTTTTCTTTCCTCCAGACTCCAAGGAATCCGGAATAAAGTGTTTTTCTGGGGAGTAATGAAGCACCAGCACATGGATCAATGAAGTCACAGCCCCGAGTACTGGAGCCATGTTTTAGCCCAGAGTTGGAAGAAAAGTTTGTACTCACTGTGTAATTAGAATAACCTGATGGGTAGAATTCAGGGGCATTCGCAGACAGCTTGGACATTAACACGGGCGCTACAACCACCTGGGGTTTAGCCATTGCTGACTCCGAGTTCTGCTGTGGGATTTTATCCTGTGAAGTAGGTGGAGCTCTCAGGGGCCTTGCTTGTTCTGAGAAAGAAATAAAGGGGAGGGGGAGGGCAGGTCTGTTAGAGGCTTCCCATTCCTTTATACACCGATTTACTAATACATAGGGAAAACATCTGGGGACCACCGAGATTTTAAGAGTTAAACGGGAACCATCATGAAACGTAAGGATATATTTACAGAAAGCCTGCGAAAGGGGAACAATAGACTTGCTGGTAGCTCCTTAACCAACACACCTGCCTCCCAAATGGACGCTTGGGGGCTCCCCGCCTCCCTCTTCTTTTTTCTAAGAGTGGGTTAAGAGGTGGTCGGGCTTGGCGGGGCTGGGGAGGAGGAGAGAGGCGATCTTGATGCCCCCCACCCCTCCGCCCCCAGAACGGCAGAACTCGGGAGACCCGCACGGCCGGCCCCTCCCCCCCGCCCGCCTGGCCGCACAAAGGATTCCAGCGGCCACCTTCCAAGCCCGGTTCCGAGTCGGTCCCTGCCCCGTCACAAACGGGTCCCTCGGGGAGTGCTTTGGGAAGGCCGGGGGAGGCGGTCGGGTGGGGGTGCGGAGAGGAGACAGGGCGCCAGGCCCAGGGCACGCGCAGAGGGCCGGGACGGGATGGGGGAGACTGGGAGGTTGGGGTGGGGGGGCACGGAAAGGGAAGCGTTGGCCCAAGGCGACAGGGACCCTCCGCGAGCCGCTCCGTACCTGGGAGCGCCCCGGGCCGGGGAGGCCGCTGGGAGCCGGCCGGGGCCTCGCACTGGACCCCTGGCGGCGGGGCCGTCCTGGGCTGGCGCAGCGGCGGCGGCTGCTGGAAGCCCGAGGCTTTGGGCTGCTGCTGCTGCGGCGGCGGCGGCGGCTGGTGCCGCGTCCGCTCGGAAGGCCCCGCTCCGTTCGGAAAACCGCCGCCCTCAGGCCCGCCCCCTCCGCGGCCCAGGCCCCGGCTCCGGCCCCGACCAGCACCTGGGGCCCGATCGAAACCGTCCGACATGCTCCTCCTCCTCCTCCTCCTCCTCCGGGGGCCGCTGCCGCTGCGCTCCGGGACAGGACGCAGGAGGAGGCGCCGCGGCCCGGCTCTCGCCTCGGCGCCTCACTCGGGCCTCATGGAGGAGGAGGGCGGCTGGCCCCCCGGCTCGTCTCTTCGGGCGCTCCGGGCCGAGCCGACGGCAGCCTGAGCAACCCGCCCCCTTCGGCTGACCGAGTCCTCCCCTCTTCCCTCCCCGAGCCAGGCTCGTCCGCTTTGAACGCGCCAGGGGCCACGGCGGGTCACAGCGGCCCCCCGCGGCCCGGAGGCCCCGGGCGCGCCCGCCGCGGCTCCTCCCGTTTGCGGCTGGCCGGCTGCCGCGGCCCAGCAGGCCCGCCGTGCGAGCGGCCTCCCTGCCTGCCGGCCTCCGCTCTGCTCGGGGCCGGGCTCGGCGGGGGGATTATCTTGGCTTGGAGGTGCCAAGCTGGGGTCGATGGGGCAATGTGGGGCCGGGGGGCGCTTACCCCTTGCGGGCCCGACCTACTGGATGGTGGTTCTCCGGAGAGAAGTGCGAGAATGACGGTTGATGGCAGGAAAATAAAAATACGGGGGGAGGGGGCGTGGACCCAGCGCCGGGGTTCGCGGACGCGCACCTCCGTGGGCGCGCAGGTGTCTTCAATGACCCCGCTCCCGCCGAGACCCGACAACTGGCGGGAGACAATCAGGGAGGCCTGAAACAACAACAAAAACCACTACCACTTGTTCCGAAAGCGGCCGGAACCGGGAGCAGGAACGGCATCAAAACACGCCGCCCCCGCCTCCATGGCCGCTGGGTGTAGATCTCGGGAGATCCACCTCCCGTGTCCACGCTTCAACTTCTTCCCCTCTCCCCTCCAGAAACATCAAGAAAACGTACTCCCTTTAATTGCAAGTCTGCCCCCCATCCCGCCTCGTTTTTACCTGCTAATAGGACTGGCCAATAAAGAGACATAATGAGAGACCACAAATGCAAGCCACTTATATAATTAGGAATTTTCCAGAAACCACGTTCCTAGTTTTTTTTTTTTTTTTAACGGTGGAAGAGGTTTCTTTTTTAATGTTTTCTTTAACCCAATATATCAAGCATGAGATCTTTGATGATGATGATGATGATGGACTTATTTGAGAGTCAGAATATTCCATCAGCTTCTCAAATGGCCACCAGTGGTCAGGGCTGGGGCCAGGGCCAGGCAAAGCCAGGTGATCCGTATCCGGGTCTCCCGCGTGGCCTAACCCCTCGCGTGGCCTAACCCCTCAGAGCATCTTCAGTTGCTTTCTCAGGTGCATTAGCAAGAAGCTGGATGAGAAGTGGAACTGCCAGGCGCTTGCTGTTTGGGAAGCTGGTGTTATAGACAATCTCAACCCCCCTGGCCCCTCTCTTATTTTTAAGTACTAGCAGAAAGGCACTGTGTACATTATATTCATGGACTGTTTCAGTTGGGATCAGGACCCTTTCAAGAGCTCAGCAGCCACAAGTGCTACAGTGGCTACTGTATTAACACAATTCTAGACCTTATTGATATATACGTGGATATTTTTGTCATGCCTGTTGGTGTTCATAACAAATGAGAGCAAATATAAATAATCAAAAGTAGGGAGAGGACCAGCCTAGAGGCTAAAATCCTTGCCTTGAACGTGCGGTGCTCCCATATCAGCACTGGTTCTAATCCTGGTAGCCCTGCTTCCCATCCAGCTCACTGCCTGTGGCCTGGGAAAGCAGTCAAGGACAGCTCAAACTCTTGGGACCCTGCACCCGTGTGGAAGACCTGGAGAAGTTCCTGGCTCCTGGATTTGGATTGCCACAGCACTGGCCATTGTGGTCTTGGGGAGGGAATCAACAGATAGAAGATCTTCCTCTCTGCCTCTCCTCTCTGTGTATCTGACTTTTCAATAGAAGTAAATCTGCAAAAAAAAATTTATATATATATATATATATATATATATATATATATTAAGTAGTGGGAAATAAACTATTTACAATCAGATTCAACCATCTTCACAAATTGATTTTAGCCTTATGTTTTGAGCAGAACTTAATGTTTTTAATGTTTTTCAAACTTCTCACCTTAAGAATCAGTTCAGTAACAATCTCTTGTTAGCCATTTTCTCTTCTCTCTAGAGAACATCAATGTCTTCACTTAAATCAAGGAGAAACATGGCTTTCTTGAGGGCAGTCAGGAGTAAATGATTTGTGCTGTTGATTTTAGGCAAAAAAAATAATGAGGTCAGCGAAAGAAGCCAGGCAGTAAACGTGCTGCTTTGGTGTAAGGAGTTGGGATTTTAGCCTTGACTGTTGGTGGCTCGGTGCTCTAAGCAGGTCAGGAGTTTACCCTCTCTAGTCTTCAGTGGACATTTTTAGTTTTTTCAATTTCAGTTTTATTTTTAAAACTGGTCGCAACACAACTTTTGGTTCACTTTGCTATTTTATAAGCTACAAGTGAAGTAGGTTGTTTGAAAAGTGAATAAAACTCCATGAAAAACAAATACTCTCGTAGTTCCCAGAGGGACACAAATGAGTGTGACCCCACCTCCTGGTCTTCCACATTTCTTCACTAACCCTATTTCCACAGTTATTTTTTTTTTCAAAGTGGCAGTAATTATGTTAAATGGGCACTGAGTATTTGCCACAAACATTACAGCTGCAAAATTAGGTGACGGTCGTAATGTTTTTTAAAAATGTACCAGTGTATGTGATTGTCAATTCTTTTTTATTTTGATTTCTCTGTTATGTAGGAAGACCTAGAAGGTGTGTACAAACAGAGAGAGTATGCTAGAATGCTCTGGTGAATACCGGCCCCCTATTTTGTTCCAGGCTTTTGCTGGCATTCACCCTTTTTGTTTCACCTTGAAATGTGCACAGCAAGTAGCACCTTTACTAACAGGTGGGGCTTCTGTGAAGACAGGGCTATTGTCTGCAGCTTTAGAGCTTCTGTTTGTTAGATAAATTAGCCAACCGAGCTCTATTCTTCATCTTCTCTCTGTCTGCTACTATGTAACTTTTGCCCTATCATTGTGATGTGTGAAAGGTGCACTAGAGTATGTTATAAATGAATTTAGCATCATGAGAGTCACAGCTAGTATTTATTATTATGTGCCAGATGCTCTTGCGTGAATTTTATTTCATTTAATTGTTATGTCCTTTAAAGCTGCCGTTTTAATATCTCCATTTTAGGAAAGTGCCAAGATAACACAAGGCCTCAGATACATCTGGAGACTCTTGTAGGGCTAAGTGCCAGATAGTAGGTGTTTCAAACTGGCAAGAGACAGAGCGCCAGCCCCCTCCACTCCAAAACCACTACATGGAGCTCCCTGAAAAGAATCATTAAAAATTATTTTCTGCATTCATGCCTTTTGAAAGTAATTTATAGTGAAAGGAGAATTAAGTTCTGAGAGGTTGGAAAATACCTATTGTGGGAAAAGGTCCTGCCGTGGACTATAGCCTCGAGGAGTGCTCTCCCGGGTGACTGTTCCAAGGTTTCTGACCTTAGAACCCCTCTCTGCTAACAAGTGCACCATGGCAAACTTGGTCTTGAGTATCAGTATTTGGTTTAACTGCCTCTGCCACTCAGGTAACTCCCTAAAGGTAGAAAATGGCCTTTAATCTCTCCACCTTTAAATCTTAACCTGGAACTTATTTCACAATGGACATTTAACAGTAATTGGACTCACCTGAAACAAAAAAAAAAACCTTGCTATTCTTCGGCTCACTTATTAAGGAAGAGCGATTTCTCAAAACTTAATTATTGCAAATCAAAGTCAAAAGCATACTTGTATCCATAATATACAGAGAACTCTGTAAACCCAACTGTGGGGGCAGCACTATGGCCTAGTGGAGTAGGACTCCACCTGTGGGCACCAGTTCAAGGCCTGGCTGCTGCACTTCCCATCCAGCTCCTTGCTGATGGCCTGGGGAGGTGGAGGTGAGGCAGCAGTGAGCAGTTAAGGCTCTTGGGCCCCTACACCCACATGAGAAGCTGAGGCAAGCTTTTGGCTCTTTGCTTCAGACCAGCCCAGTTTTGGCCATTGGAGCCACTTAGGAGAGTGAAACAGCAGGTGGAGGATCTCTGTTTCTCCTCTCTGTAGCTCTGCATTTCAAATAAAAATAAGTCTTAAAACAAATCCAACTGTGAAAGAACAATTCATTTAGAAAATGGCCAAAATACTTGAGTGGATATTTCATCAAAAGCAAAACAAAACAAAAAAACCCATACAGATAGTATTTAAGCTTACCAAAAATTTCAGCATAATTCTCCATTAGATAAACAAAAGCTAAAACTTCAATAACATTTCATTACTTGCTTATCATAATGGCTAAAATAAAACATATATACAACACTTAATGCTCAGAAAGCAGAGAAACTAGAAACCAATTAATTCCACATTGTTAGAATATAAAATGACATAGTTACTCTGGAAGTAGATTGGCAGTTTCTTTAAAAAATTATGTACAAAATTACCATGCAACCCACTAAGTGCCCTCCTAGACATTAATCCCAGAGGGAAAAAAAAAATACATGTTCACACAAAAACCTGTATCCAGATGTTCATAACAGCTTTATTAATAACAGCCCCAAACTGGAAGTAACCCAGATGTCTTAAGGAGTTTTAACCTGTACTATATTCATACCACAAGAATCCTGCTCACCAAGAAAAATAAATTGCTAAGGGCCACTAGGAAGGAAACACACATACACACACACACACACACACACACACACAGGGGAAGTAACTGTAAGAGCCCTGAGGGACGGGGAGACAAGAGATGGGGTAATGTATACAGTGTAATCTTCAGATGTCAACTCTGCACACTCCTGAGCCTAACAAGCTACTCCCATTTCAGTTCCCCTGATTAGCTCATGCAGCATGTCTCATTAGCATACACTTTCAGTTTTCCTGATTGGTTGTCATCCTTGCCTTGGCTATTATTCTCAACTCTTGATTGGTTGCTATTCTGTTTCTCTCCTGATTGGTTAAATCTGTACTCACATTTCAGAAAGGAGCTCATCAGAGAGAACAGCTTTGTGTATAAAATGTTCCCATTTGGCAATTCCTTCCTTGGGATCCCCTTTCCGATTGCTGCGGCAGGTGGCTTCTCACCGTGACTAAATCTTGCTTTGCTTGTTCCCTGTTGCTGTCCATGTGACAAGGACTGTGTTTGCCCTCATTGCCCTGCAAGGGAACAACCACCGACACAACTTAATTGGAGCTCAAAGAAGCTATACTTAGCGAAAAATAGTTTTGAAATAGTTTTATATTATCATATAATCCCATTGATATAGCTCTGAGGTGACAAAATTGTAAAGATGGAGAACAAATTAATGCTTACCAGAAATTAAGAAGAAGATGGGGGATGCAGTCCCTGCAGGTGAGCACAGGAACCAAGACAAGGAGCAGCCCAGATCTGGACAGGTTATAGTACCCACCAGCATATGTCTTAGTCAGGTAAGGGATGGGGACCAGACTAGGCCAGTTCATAACACCCCTGGCAGATTTGAGAACCAGGATAGGGTGTGGGATAGGTCAGATTGGGCCGCAGCACCAGCCAATTCCCATCAGGGCTGGGACTAAGGGCTGGCTGGAACTGGGGACAGAACGGGCTAGGCCAGGCTACAGCACCTGCCAGCATATGCCAAGGTGGGGCAGGCCATGCTAGACTGGGCCACAGCACCCACAAGCACACATGTGCCCCAGGGGGAGGGGCACAAGCCCTACACAGGAGGTGGGGAGGGAAGGACTCTCATGCAGGGCCATTGTTCCTGCTGGTGAGTGTGAGAGCTGGGACTGGGGGTAGACCAGGCCAGGAAGGGCTACACCACCTTTTGGCCTGCATGTGAACTGGGTTATGGGGAAAGCCAGGCTGGGCTAACCCACTGTATCCACTGATGCAGGTATAAGCCAGAGTAAGGGCAAATTGGTCAGGCTTTGTAGCAGCATCGGCTGGCAAGTGCTAGGACTGGGGGCAAGTCCTGTTGAGCTACACTGCAGAATCACCTGGAGAGTACAAGATCCAGGGTAGGGAGTGGGTCCAGTAGGGTAACTGTGGGCACTTCTCTGATGCGCTGCAACTCTCACTGGTGAGCACAAGAACCAGAACTGGGGGCAGGTCTGCCTAGACAAGCTGTGCCACCTGCTAGCATGAAGGAGGGCTAGAGGATGAAGTTGGTTGGGTTGAGTTAAGCTTCAATGCCCAATGATTTGCATGAAATCTGAATGGGATGGGATATGGGATAGACCAGACTAATCCACTGCACATGCTGGCAGGCACAGTAACCGGTGCTAGGAACCGGCCCAGTGGGGAATATTGGGATCGCTCTGACAGGGTTGCAATTCCAAATGGTAGTCATGGGAGCTGAGTGTGTGATGGATGAAGCTGGGTTGTAGCATCCACTGGTTTGTGTAAGAGACGAGGTTGGAGGTAGATCTGACTTAGCAATTGCAGCTACCAGTGTGTGTGTAGGCTGATGTGGGTGACAGAATGAGCCGGACCCTGTACTGGCAAGTGCACACAGGAGTCAGGTCTGGGATCATCTTAGACAAGATTTCTTTAAGGATTTCCCCCAACTAACCTGCTGAACTCAGAACTCCACACCGTGGGGACAGTGACAGAATCTGTGATCTGACAGTGGAGTGCCTGTGTCTTAACAGGGTCTCTTCAGTTGCTGAAGATGGTTCAATGGACAGCAAACCCAGATGCCCAGGGAGGATTAGGCAGCTCATTGGAGTCTGCAGAGAACATCTGGTACCTTAGCAGAGGAAGGATGGTAGAACAAATTGGTCAAACTAGCCCAGAAAAGCTTGACAGCTAATTTATGGGTGAATGGAGACTGGGGTGAACTGAATCAGCCAATGAACCTTGAAAGGTTCTCCTCATTCTTAGATCTGTGAGGTCAGCAGCATGTCAAAACTATTAAAACCACTTGAGCAAAACACTCAGAACATGCACCACATCAGGACCCTGGGATGACATCAGGTGGCCGTTCCCCATCCCTGGGTACCAGTTGGGAGGCTGGGTGTGCCTTCTCCCCTAGTTTTCCCCTTACCCTCAGATATTGGAAGAAGGATGAGGAATGTGTGGAAATAGTGGTTTCACCTGCTTTACCCTAGGATCTCATATGGGAACTGGTTCATGTCCCAGCTGCAACACTTCCTATCAAACTCCCTGCTTGTGGCCTGAGAAAGCAGTACAAAATGGCCCAAAGTTTTGGGACCCTGCACCTGCGTGAGAAACCTGGAAGAAACTCCTGGCTCCTGGTTTTGGATTGGCTCAACTCTGGCCACTCCAGCCACTTGGGGAGTGTACCAGCAGATGGTAGATCTTTCTGTCTCTCCTCTGTAAATTTAAAGGACTGGGACAACACTCTGAGCCATCTTGCTACCATAACAACCTGCTGCAAGGGCCAAGAAGCCCGTTACCAGAAAGGTAATTTTGTTTTGTAGCTAAGGCAGAAAGATAAGGGCAGAAGGAGCTGGAAGACAGTTCATGGTTAAGGGTAACTAAAGCATTAAAGAGGGAAGACAGAAGACAGATTGGAAGAAAAGAGGAATCAGGTAATAGACACTAGTAGTTGGCAATAAAAAGCAGAAATAAGAGGAATTGGAAATTTGGGGGGACTTTGAGTGAACAGTTACAGCATGAAATAGTCTACTAGTTGCATAAGTCCACTAATTGTACTGGCCAGCAGCGACGTAATAGTTGGAAATGCTTGTCAATCAAATGATGTCCATCGCCCATGTGTGGCACTGGAGAAACATGAGTGTCAATGTTTACAGTGTAAATGTCAAGCGAGAGGTGTCTTGCCACTGGCAGTTCTTTTTCCCTATCTCCAGGTCAGTCCATTCACTGTTCTTGGTGTGGAAAGCAGTCCGAAGTCAGCTGCTTGGCTGTTTCAGTTCCTGTAGGAGACTGGCAGCTATAGCGATAATGGCACTCAGGGAGATGGCAACCTCAGCCTGAAGAAGTTAACTCACGCTGTCCCACTGTATGTCCTTTAGGAAATGAACCACCCTGTGGCTTCAACAAGTAGGCAGCAGCCAGCCTTCCTAGATGGCATTCCTTCTGCTGATTTGGATACCTTCTCAGACTCAAAAGCCTCCTCCACCCCGCCTCCATTGCCTCAGTTCTATGTGTCTGGAGAACTCCAGGGGACACCTGATAGAATTAAGGAGCTGAGAGCAGCAAATGAACTTGGTGCAATTTGCCCTAAAGCTCTCAAGCCAAAGGAAAGGCTCGGACAAATGAAGAAAGGTGCTGACAAAGGAAGCTGCTGTGACACTGTTTA